TGTTTTTGCTTTGGCTCCATCCCTTCATTCTTTCTGGAGTTATTTCTTCACTGATCTCCAGTAGCATATTGGGTACCTACCGACCTGGGGAGTTCCTCTTTCAATGTCCTATCTTTTTGCCCTTTCGTACTGTTCATGGGGTTCTCAAGGCAAGAATACTGAAGTTGTTTACCATTCCCTTCTCCAGTGGACCACTTTTTGTCAGAACTCTCCACTGTGACCTGTCTGTCTTGGGTGGCCCTACCCAGCATGGCTCATAGTTATATCCAGCTCTCTTTGGAATAAATTAAATAAGCAACTCAGGAAGTAAAAAGGCAATGGAAGAAAATACATGCATGGTTCTCTCTTAAAGAGTAGACCTTAAGTCCTTGGTGAGAACTTGAGTTTGGTTTTTTGTTTTTTTTTTTTTAAGCCACACTGTGTGGCTTGTGGTGTCTTAGTTCCCAGAACAGGGATTGATCCCTGACCACAGCAGTTGAAAGTGCCTGAGTTCTAACCACTAGACCACCAGGGAACTTTGAACTTGAGTTTTCTTTTAGCATACATCCCCTTGGTTTATGATCTGTGAGGTTACATTAGTTCTGTTATTTCTCTTAGTGATGCATATAAATTTTTAGATCTTGCAAATAATCCTATCTCAAACCTATCTCAAATAATTTTGAAATTTTTGTCCATCTTATTTTGTCAGGACATAAAAAAAGCTAAAGCTGAAAATACAGAGGTTCCTCTCTGCTTTCATTCCCAGCATATAAGAATTGTAGTCATGTGGTTTGCGTGTATGTGTTAACATATGTGTTTGTAAAATAATTGGAGAGGAACATGTTAACAAATTAACACAGTCTGTTAAAGTCTTGGGATTTGACTTTTTCATTTTCTTGAAATTTTAAAAGGTATTTTTTTATAATAAATAAAAATGGAAAAGTAAGTCAGACATTAATTTGAAAATTACTATGTTAAAATTTGAGTAGTGTTCTTAATTTATTACATTTAATTCACTCTTGTAGATGGTAAAAAGAACATTTAATCACAGTCCAGAGTTTTTATTGGGTACTTAATCTGTTCAAACAAACATTAAATATTTGAATAGTTGAGAAATTTAAAAATATTTGTTCTTAAGATACATAATTTTTTTGGGGGGAGGTGAGGGGGTTATTGAGTTTGATTATCACATGTTAGAAATAAGAAGCAAGTTCCACCTTGAAACCTACTATAGTTTAGTTTTCCCTCTTTCTCTTCTTTCCCCTCTTCCTTCTTCTCCTGTTTAGTCCTCTCTTTCTCTCTCTTATTACCCTTTGTATATTTTGCCTGTTTCCTGATAGATTAGCTCCAGGTGACTTTGGTCAATATGCTAAGTTATGATATTGTTTATATAGTTTTGTGTGCTTTCTTATAAGGAGTAGGAACTTTACCACATAAAACTTCCTTAGAATTCCTTCTGAAAACTAATTTTCTAGTCTTACTATCACCAAAAATAGAGGTTGGCCTTGCATTTTTTAAGTGGTAACCTGAATAGTCAGTGGTAGAATTAGACTGGAAAAATTTTAGTATTTTTAGAGAAAATGTTCTTTTAAAGCAATATGCTGAACCACAAGGACCCGGAGTTCTTCCCTTTGAGCTGTACATTTACTGTTAGTGCTTCTGAGCTGAAGGGAAACAGACTGTATTCTATAATATCAAACAATAAAAATGTTTGACTGTTTTCTTTCTCAAAGAAACTTTTTGTTTATAAGGCACAGTTATATCCATTCATAGGCCTTGGGACTATATATGTGACTATATGTGAATGCATAGTATCCATAGGACAAATACTTCTTTGGAAGCAGAACAAACAAAATTCTGTATGATCTGTAAACATCAGCTTTTTTTTTTTTTTTTTAACATCAGCTTTTTTCAAGGATGCTTAACAGCGTACCCTCTGCCCTTTTAGGGCCTCTTTATCTTAAAGAGAGAAAAGCAGGGCAGGTGATTTTCACAGCTTTGGATATTTGTCTTAATGTTAGTAATAATAAGTATTGATTTAGTTTTTGTCATGTACCAGACACCATACTAGGCACTTCCATTATATGCTGCCCTCACAATGCTGTTTGAAATAATACTAAATCTCATTTCCCAGAAAAATATGGAAAATTATCATACTTTGTTATAGTATGTGATCACATCTGTTTGGAGCTCCCCCTTTCAATTTTGGATTTTTAAGTAAAGAAACTCAGTGAGAACTAATGGGGAAAATGCAGATAACCAATACTAATGAGAAATTTTAGAAATTTGAAAATAAGAGAAATACTAAAAACAAAAGAAGAATCACCATAATAACATAAATGATAGTACCAAAAGTAACACATAAAGATCCAAGTATACTAAAACTTAGTATGTTGTTTATATTTCTTCAATGATTTTCCTTAGATTTAGATAGAATTGAAGAATATTTAATCAAAGAAATTAGATTTAACAAAGTAACTTAATTTCCCAAGGTAGAAATACAAGCTACAATTTTTTAATATTAATGGAGCCTGGCAAGCATTCTAATATGTAAATTGAAAATATTCTTACACTATAAGTCTCAAAAGCTTTAATAAACCAGTTTAACCATTAAATATCATAGGAAAATAAGGCTTATAAAATCAAAAGTTGTTAAGCTCATAGAATTGTCCTTATGTATATAATATTAAAGTAAGGGAAAATTAATAGTATTTTTAAATGATTAACTTCAGAAAAGCAGTTTTTCTCCCAATCTTTTAATGTGATTAAGTGACCTTGCTATGTGAATAAAAGAATAAGAAAATGATATAAACCAAGTTCAACTATTTAATAAATATTTATTGACCACCTACTGTGTGCCAAGCACTGTATGAGGCATTTGGTATGCATCAGTGGGAGGACAATGTTCACTGCCCTCATGGAACTTAACGTTTTCGTAGGGGAGGCAGACAGCAAACATAGTAAGTATGTTAGGGAGTGATAAACACAGTAAGTAAACTATGCAAAGCAGTAGGGCAGTGGAAAGAGGGCGTGGGAGGGATAACCAGGCTACAATTTTAAATAGGGAGTCGGGGTATGCCCTCATTGAGAAGGTGACAATTAAGCCAAGGCTTAAAGGAGATAAGGGAGTTTAGTCAAAGAACTGGCCAAAGAACCCTCCAGGAGAAAGGAACAGGTGATGCAAAAGGCCTCAAGGTCAGAGTGCCTCACAGATTTGAGAACAGCAAAGTTGGACAGCAGTGAGCACGCAGGGGAGAACATTAGGTATGGAGGTAGACAGGTAACAGGTAGGAGTGATACAGATTCTGTAAAGATTTGGGGTTTATTCTAGAGTGAGACGAGGTGCTCTTATACAGTTTTTAGCAGAGGAGTGATGTGACCTCTCGTGGTTAGGAGAATCAGTTTGGCTACTGTGTTGATGATTGACGATAGGAGGGCAAGGGCAGCAACAGAGACAATTTAATAGGCTATTGCAATAATCCAGGAAAAAAATAATGGTGGTTCAGACTAGTGTGAAGATAGTGAGAGAAGGTCACATTCCTGGTACACTTTGAAAGTAGAGCCCTCAAGGTTTCCTGACAGTTTGGATGCAGGGTGTGTGAGGAAGAGGAGAGTCAAGAATGACTGCAAGGTGTTTTGCGTGATCGATTGGAAGGGATTACCGTTGCCCTCAGCTGAGATGAGGAAGGCTGAAAACTGAGCTGGTTTAGGGGATGGAGACAGAAGAGAAGGCCCATTTCGGACTTGTTAAGTTTGAGTTGTCAGGCAGGCCTTTGGACTAGAGCTGTAAGCGTGGAAGCCATTAGCATTAGATGAAAGTAAATCTGTGCCCATGAAACTGGATATATGTTGCCTAGCAATGGGGCATCAAGGCAGCAAGGTAACCGAAAACTGCACATCTCACAACTGTGCCTGGGGCCAATACTGCTGATAGCCCAGTTCTTCTCACCAACTCAGGACTAAAATCAATTCTCAAGAGTTTGGGGACTAAGTAACATACTATATGTGTAGTAGTAGGCATTCAATAATTGTTTCTGTTCCTTTCATACATTTCGCCATTTAAAGGAAAAGGCAGCTTAAAAGTAGGCTGTCTGCATTTAGCCTCTTCATTCTTCAGTAGTGTTGGTTTGGGAAAATTATGAATGAATTACATTCACCTCTTTTACTAGAAAATGAGACTATTGGATTGCTAAAGCATAAGGCAAAATACAGGGTAATATTAGGCTTAATGTGAAAGCTGAAGAGAATATGCAAAGGATAATAGAAAATCAGCCTATATTCCCTTAGTTACCAGTGGTTCCTATACTTCATGGCACCCTGGAATTACCTGGGCATCTCTTAAATATATTTATATCTGACTTCTACTCGTAGACTTTCTGACCTAGCATACAAGCTGGGCATCAATTTAAGATCTCTATGGTGGATGTAATGTGTAGCAAAGTTTGACAACTATTGTGATATACAGGTTTATTTTATTTTCTTCCTAGTGGAACCATCACTAATAATCACAGTATTCAAATTTCATTTTATAATTTACTTTTTTCTTTGCTGGTACTAAAAATGAAAGCAGCTCTCAAGAAGAGGTCCTTTTAAGGGCATTATGCTAAGGGTAATAAGTCAGAGAAAAATACTGTATAATCTCACTTACATGTGGAATCTAAAACTGCAAACAGAAAACTCACAGAGGACAGATTGGTGGCTGCCAGTGGCAGTGACGGGGAGAGGAGAGAAGGGGTGAGAGGTAGGGGGTGGGGAAAATAGGTAAAAGGAGTCAAAAGGTATAAGCTTTCAATTATAAAATAAATTATGCAAATGTAATGCACACCATGGTGAATATAGTTCATACGATATTGTATTGTTGAAAATTGCTCAGAGAATGGATCTTAAAAGTTCTCATCACAAGAAAAACATTTGTAACTATGTATGGTGATGTTAAAATAGAAAAAAGGGAAGGGGAGAGGAGGGGGGTCAATGGGGAGAGAAGGGCCTCAAGGCAGAGTAGAATAAATGAGCCTGCTGTAAGTCATCCAAGTGAGAAATTACGGTCATAATTTGTTGTAGGTTCATGGCAGCTATTCACCTGGCCGTTTATTTGTAGTATGTGAAAGGGTGAAAGTGTTAGCTGCTCAGTCGTGTCCACTCTTTGGGACCCCACGGACTGGAGCCCCAGCCCAGGGATCGAGCCCGAGTCTCCTGCGTTGCAGGCAGGTTCTGCACAGTCTGAGCCACGAGGGCGGAAGAGCCCCACGCTGCAGACAGCCGTGACGCCATGGCAGCGCCTTAGACCTGGAGTGAGAAGACTGGGAGCGAGAGCCTGGGTCTGTTGCTTTTTATCAGAGCCATGCTGGGCAATTCATTTAGCCTTCCTGAAATTCAGATTTCTTTCTCCCTAACATGAGAATGTGCAAAGCTATTTTCTGTGGTTGTTTTAATTGTTTTTAAAAGCTAATGTATGTGAAGGTAAATTATAAAGAGTTATATTAAAACCCAAAAGAATTATTATTTGAAATGAACCTCAGAAGTGACATGACATTGCAAAGTGTAATGATTTTCTGCAAGGGGATAGATTTTTTTTTCCTGTATGTTTTCACTGATTTAAGAATGGAACTCTGCAAACAGTAGGTAATAAATGCTATTGAACCTACATTTGGCAGGAAAAGTGTTACTTTGTATTTATTTCTTATACAGTGCATTGTGCTGTGCAGTGATCATATTTGCTCAGTCGTGTCTGACTCTTTGCGACCCCATGGACTGTAGTCCACCAGGCAGGAATACTGGAGTGGGTTGCCATGCTCTCCTCCAGGGGGTCTTCCCAACCCAGGGATTGAACCCAGTTCTCTCACATTGCAGGTGTATTCTTTACTGTCTGAGCCCCCAGGGAAGCCCATACAGTGCATTACAGGGGAAAAAACATGAACATTGAACACAAGTGTTGTCACTTATCAAATCTCTTTCAGTAGGCATGTTCCATAACTCAGGTTTCTTTTCTCTTATATATTGGGGATAATAATATCTACCTTCCAGGGCTGATGTGTGAAATTCAAGTGTAAAGAGCCATGTGTAGTGACTGGCACAGAGTTGGCAGGAAATGTTAATCCCTTTCTTCCCTCCAAGAGTATAAATCTTGGGATAATAATTTTTAAATCTGAGTACTAATTATTTCTCACTAACCAAAAAAATATTTAACGGCATTTTTGTTTTGCTGATTTCTATGTCAGTTATTAAAATGACACCCCTCTCCCAAACCCTTGTCCTCCATGAATGCTTTGAAAAACATGTTTGTTTGGTATGCTTTTTCAGATACTAAAAGGAGCCATTTTACCATTAACTTTTTTTCTTTTCTTCAAGTTTACACCATGGATAGCACAAAGGAGAAGAGTGACAATTACAAAGATGATCTTCTGCTCAGGATGGGACTTAATGATAATAAAGCTGGAATGGAAGGATTAGATAAGGAGAAAATTAACAAAATTATAATGGAAGCCACAAAGGTATGTTTCTTTTTTTCTTTCAATATCTTTAACTTAGTAACCTTTTAACTTTTTTTAAAGAGAAAATTAGTGAGTTTTAGATAACATTTTAAGTATTTTAATATATAAAATTGTTAAGCTCCAATGCATGTAGAATAATCTCCCTTCTCTGCTAATGCTTTTGCATTCTGCTTGGTACTTAACATGCACATAGTATGCTTGTTAAAGCAAAGTAACATATATCTTCTTTTTCAGCCCTTTTTTCCTACCCCAAGAGGAGAATACTACAATTGTGGGTGTTTTTGTTTTTGTTTCAGTTATATCTTGGAAGTCTTTCTGTATAAGAAAGTAAAGATCTTCCCTCTTTTTCATGCCTACATAGGTGGATATACTATTATTTATTGAACTAGCCAGAGTCTTTGTTAATGAACATATAAGTCATTTCTGGTCTTTCATCTTTACACATAATACTATGGTGAATAACCTTGTATTTCATAACTTGGCCGCTGCTGCTGCTGCTAAGTCACTTCAGTCGTGTCCGACTCTGTGCGACCCCATAGATGGCAGCCAACGAGGCTCCTCCGTCCCTGGGACTCTCCAGGCAAGAACACTGGAGTGGGCTGCCATTTCCTTCTCCAACGCGTGCATGCATGCTAAGTTGCTTCAGGCGTGTCCAACTCTGTGCGACCCCATGGACAGCAGCCCACCAGGCTCCTCCGTCCATGGGATTCTCCAGGCAAGAATACTGGAGTGGGCTGCCATTTCCTTCTCCAATTTCATAACTTTACATATCTGCAAATATAACTATAGGAGAGATTCCCTGAACCAAATACAGAAAGCTTGAAAGGATATATACATGTATAGTTTTCAATTAATTGCTCAATTGCCCTCCATAGTATGTGTATCAATTTACATTTCCACTGCCAATATATGAGAGTATACTGAAACCGTACCAACACAGTATGTTACCATACTTTTGGATTTGCCAGTCTTCAGTAATGCAGTGTAGCATTAATTTATATTTCTCATCAAATTTCAAAAAGTTTGTAAGATACCATTCAAAATACAAAGATAAATAGAGTAAAATATCTATTTTCAAAACACACATCTCTTAAAGGACTTACATCCAGAAAATATGGATTATTCTTACAGCTCATTAATGAGAAGACAACCCAATCAAAAAATGTGCAAAACATATAAATAGACACTTTACTAAGGAAGATATAAGAATCGCTCATGAGATGTTCATCAGTCATTAGGAAAAAGCAAATTAAAACCACAGTGAGGGACTTCCCTTGTGGTTCACTGGTTAAGAATCCTCCTTCCACATATGCTAACAAGTATGAAAGGGGAAATTAACAGTAACACAGTAATAGCGGGAGACTTTAATACCCCACTCACACCTATGGATAGATCAACCAAGCAGAAAATTAGCAAGGAAACACAAACTTTAAATGATACAATGGACTGGTTAGACCTAATTGATATTTGTAGGATATTTACCCCAAAACAATGAATTTCACCTTTTTCTCAAGTGCACACAGAAAATTCTCCAGGTTAGATCATATCCAGGGCCATAAATCTAGCCTTGGAAAATTCAAAAAAATTGAAATTGTTTCAGGCATCTTTTCTGGTCACAGTGCAGTGGGATTAGATGTCAAATACAGGGAAAAAAAACTATTAAAAATACAAACATATGGAGGCTAAACAACATGCTTCTGAATAACCAACAAATCACTGAAAAAATCAAAAAAGAAATCAAAATACACATAGAAACCAATGAAAATGAAAACACTACAACCCAAAACCTATGCAATTCAGTAAAAGCAGTGCTAAGTGGAAGATTCATAGCAATACAAGCATACCTCAAGAAACAAGAAAAATCAAATAAGTAATCTAACTTTACACATAAAGCAACTAGAAAAAGAAGAAATGAAGAACCCCAGGGTTAGTAGAAGGAAAGAAATGATAAAAATTAGAGCAGAAATAAATGAAAAAGAAACAAAGGAGACTATAGCAAAAATCAACAAAACTAAAAGATTGTTCTCTGAGAAGATAAGTGAAATAGACACACCATTAGCCAGACTCATCAAGAAAGAAAGGGAGAAGAATCAATTCAACAAAATTAGAAATGAAAATGGAGAAATCACAACCGACAACACAGAAATACAAAGGATCATAAAAGACTACTATCAGCAACTATATGCCAATAAAATTGGACAACTTAGAAGAAATGGATGAATTCTTAAAGTATAACCTTCCAAAACTGAACCAGGAAGAAATAGAAAATATTAGCAGACCCATCACAAACATGGATATCGAAACTGGAATCAAAAATCTTCCAACAAACAGAAGCCCATGACCAGATGTCTTCACAGGTGAATTCTACCAAAAACTTAGAGAAAAGCTAACACCTATTCTACTCAAACTCTTGCAGAAAATTGCAGAGGAAGGTAAACTTCCAAACTCATTCTATGAGGCCACCATCACCCTAATACTAAAACCAAAGATGCCACACACACACACACACACACACAATACAGGCCAATATCACTGATGAACATAGATGCAAAAATCCTTAATAAAATTCTAGCAAACAGAATCCAACAGCATATTAAAAAGATCACACATCATGACGAAGTGGGCTTTATCCCAGGGATGTGAGGTTTCTTCAATATCTGCAAATCAATCAATGTGATACACCACATTAACAAATTGAAAGATAAAAAATATATGATTATCTCAATAGATAAAGAGAAAGCCTTTGACAAAATTCAACACCCGTTTATGATAAAAACTTTCCAGAAAGCAGGAATAGAAGGAACACACCTCAACATAATAAAAGCCATATGTGATAAAACCACAGCAAATATCCTCAATGGCAAAAAATTGAAAGCATTTCCCCTAAAATCAGGAACAAGACAGGGTGCCCACTCTCACCACTACTATTTAACATAGTTTTGGAAGTTTTAGCCACAACAACCAGAGAAGAAAAAGAAATAAAAGGAATCAGATTGGAAAAGAAGAAATAAAACTCTCACTGTTTGCAGATGACAAAATCTTCTACACAGAAACCCCTAAAGACACCACCAGAAAATTTCTAGAGCTGACCAATGAATATAGTAAAGTTGCAGGATGTAAAATTAATACACAGAAATCCCTTGCATTCCTATACATTAACAATGAGAAAACAGAAAGAGAAATTAAAGAAACAATCACATTCACTATTGTGACAAAAAGAACAAAATAGGAATAAATCTATCTAAAAAAACAAAAGACCTTTATATAGAAAACTATAAAACACTGATGAAAGAAATCAAAGATGAAACAAATAGATGGAGAAATATATCATATTCTTGGGTTGGAAGAATCAATATAGTGAAAATGAGTGTTTTATCTAAAGCAATCTATAGATTCATGCAATCCCTATCAAGCTACCAACAGTATTTTTCACAGAACTAGAACAAATAATTTCACAATTTGTATGGAAATACAAAAAACCTCGAATAGCCAAAGCAATCTTAAGAAAGAAGAATGGAACTGGAGGAATCAACCTGCCTGACTTCAGACTATACTACAAAGCTACAGTCATCAAGACAGAGTGGTACTGGTACAAAGACAGAAATATAGATCAATGGATCAAAATAGAGAGCTCAGAGATAAATCCATGCACCTATGGACACCTTATCTTTGACAAAAGAGGCAAAAATATGCAATGGAGAAAACACAATCTCTTTAACAAGTGGTTCTGGGAAAACTGGTCAACCCCCTGTAAAAGAATGAAACTAGAACACTTTCTAACACCATACACAAAAATAAAATGGATTAAATATCCAAATGTAAGACCAGAAGCTATAAAACTCCTAGAGGAAAACATAGGCAAAACACTCTCTGACATAAATCACAAGAACTTCTAAGACCCATCTCCCAGAGTAATAGAAATAAAAGCAAAAATAAACAAATGGGACCTAATTAAACTTAAAAGCTTTTGCACAACAAAGGAAACTATAAGCAAGGTGAAAAGACAGCCCTCAGATTGGGAGAAAATAATAGCAAACGAAGCAACAGACAAAGGATTAATCTCAAAAATATACAAGCAACTCCTCCAGCTCAACTCCAGAAAAATAAATGACCCAATCAAAAAATGGGCCAAAGAACTAAACAGACATTTCTCCAAGGAAGACATACAGATGGCTAACAAACACATGAAAAGATGCTCAACATCACTCATTATCAGAGAAATGCAAATCAAAACCACAATGAGGTACCATTACACGCCAGTCAGGATGGCTGCTATCCAAAAGTCTACAAGCAATAAATGCTGGAGAGGGTGTGGAGAAAACAGAACACTCTTACACTGTTGATGGGAATGTAAACTAGTACAACCACTATGGAGAACAGTGTGGAGATTCCTTAAAAAGCTGGAAATAAAACTACCATACGACCCAGCAATCCCACTGCTGGGCATACACACCGAGGAAATCAGAATTGAAAGAGACACATGTACCCTAATGTTCATCACAGCACTGCCTGCAATAGCTAGGACATGGAAGCAACCTAGATGTCCATCAGCAGATGAATGGATAAGAAGGTTGTGGTACATATACATAATGGAATATTACTCAGCTATTAAAAAGAACACATTTGAGTCAGTTCTAATGAGGTAGATGAAACTGGAGCCTATTATACAGAGTAAAGTAAGTCAGAAAGAAAAACACCAATTAGCACATATATATGGAATTTAGAAAGATGGTAATGATAACCCTATATGCAAGACAGCAAAAGAGACACAGATGTATAGAACAGACTTTTGGACTCTGGGAGAAGGTGAGGGTGGGATGATTTGGGAGAATGGCATTGAAACATGTATATTACCATATGTGAAATAGATGACCAGTCCAAGTTTGATACATGAAACAGGACACTCAAAGCTGGTCCACTGGGACAACCCAGAGGGATGGGATGGGGAGGGAAGAAGGAGGGGGTTTGGGGTCAGGGACACATGTACTCCTGTGGCTGATTCATGTCAATGTATGGCAAAACCCACCACAATATTGTAAAGTAATTAGCCTCCAATTAAAATAAATAAATTTTTTTAAAAAAGAATCCACCTTCTAATGCAGGGGACGCGAGTTCAATCCCTGGTTGGGGAACTAAGCCCAACTCTAGAAGCCCATGGACCACAACTAAAGATGCCCCCCGCATGCCACAATGAAGACCCAGTGTAGCTAAAAAAACCCAAAAAACCCAAAACCACAATGAGATACAGTCAGAGTATTATGGCCTAGAATGGCTGTAATAAAGACAAACAGTAACAGATTTTGCAAGGATATGGAGAAATTGGTATCCTCATACATTGCTGGTAGTCTTGTGAAATGCTTCTGCCATTTTGGAAAATGGTTTTGCAGTTCCTCAAAAGGTTAAGTGGGAAGTTGCCATGTAACACAGAGATTCTACTCCCAGGTACATATCCAAGGAAGGTGAAAACATGTGACCACATAAAATGTACACAATTGTTCATTGCAGCCATTTTCATGATAGCCAAAATGTAAAAATGATCTCAATGTCCATCAGTCTTATAAATAGGTAGATAGTATGTTCACTGATGGAATGATAGATTATTTTCTAAAAGTTACTTTCTACATTTTATTTAATGGCTAATATTAAATATTTAAAAGTACTATTTACCTAAAACAGACTGCTAATTATTTCTCCATTAAAAAAAAATGATGGCTTTGTTTGAGATTAGCAGAGAATTGCAGTTCAAGGACTGCAGCCATGGTAAGCCACGTGCAAGTGCTTAGCAAAAATAAAGGGAAGAACTCTTTCCAAGAGGAGAAAAGGAAGTTGGCAAGGGTATATAGTAAACAGAGGCCATGACTTTTCATTGCCTGAGTTGTTGCCAGGAAAGGTTTTTTTGATGCTTTCTGCTATCATCAAAGGGGGCCAGAGCTCCCTCTTCTGATCTCTGAGTATTTAATTGAGGTTTCTGTTAGTTAATTTTTTACCATAAATTTTCAATGAAAGTAAAGGAGATAATTGATGACCCAGCTGACTAAATCCTTGGATGTGCCCGGAGGATCCCACCTAGGATATGCTTTATTTCCCAAATGCAGATCTTGAAGAGTTTGTACTGTGCTTACTGCCTCAACAATCTTGTGATTTAGGTAGCTATAAATTCATTTTACAGATTAGGGAGCCTGAGGCATAGTAAGATGAACTTTAGGGTCACCAAGCTAGTAAGTAATGGAGTAAGTTTTGAATTCAAGCCATTCTCTTTCTAGAGCCTGTACTCTTAGCCATCAGGTTCACAGTGATGCTTTCCTTCAGCCCTTTCTCTTATGCTATGCATTGTTTTCCTACGTTAGGGGTCCAGATTTTATGGAAATGAGCTCAAGAAAGAAAAGCAAATCAACCAACGAATTGAAAATATGTTGCAACAAAAAGCTCAAATTACAAGCCAGCAGCTGAGGAAGGCACAATTACAGGTATTAATTCAATTGCTAAATATAGTAGGCGCTGATAGAATAATAATTGGTAGTTAAAATGCATCATGGTGAAATTATAACTGAAAACAAGGTAAATGTAAATGTTTGTTACATTGTAAAGCATAAAAATTTAACAAATGTGCATACACCTTTGTAAAAAAATTGCTCTGTGTTTTTACATAAAGACCCACACCTAAACATTGTCACCTCCATTATACAGGAGAGTAAATGGAGCCTTAGTTAGGTTAAGTTACTTGCCCAGCTTCATATGACAGGTAGTTGTCAGAGCTAGGATTTAATCCAAATCATATGTTGCAGTTGGAAAAGGCCCAAGATAAATGTGACATGTTTTTTGAAAAACTAATTTTTCAAAAAAGATTTGGGGGAACATGTTAACTAATTAAATTTAGAAGTACTTTGAAACGTAGTTGTGTTATAGTAAAACAAAAAGTCATGTAAATGGTAAGATGCCAAATGTACATGAATTTTTAAGATAAAACACGAGACTTCTGAAAGTTTGGGGTCATTTGGCTTCTTTGGCATCTCTGGGGAATAAATGCTCAATTTCCTGTGGTATTACAAGTTATTTCAATAGAAAAGTTTGAGAAGAGCCAGTCTATAAGGCATTAGGTGGTAGAATGAGAACTCAAGGCAGTAAAACTAAAGTTTACATTTAGAGAGTTTTACCCTCTATCAAAATCTGATTCAGTTTTACAAAGTACTTTAAGCTATAACATAGCAATAAAATTATAACATTAATTGAGTGTGCTGTAAAATTCTTCTCATGATGGAAGTTCAGATATTATAAATTTTGTTTTCTTTACCAAACTAATATGTCATCTTTTTTGGACATATGCTTTCCTAGAGCACAAGCTAGTTTTTTTATCTTCTATGTTGAGTAGTCTGCTATCATGACTAAAGATAATTTGTCAAATCATCGTTTTTAATGTTTCATGGCAGGTCAGTCCGTGGAGGTACATAATATTGTGATGATCATTTGTATTCATGTATCTTTGCACTCTTGTCCTGTTATTTTCACCAAAGATTGTACCATTTTACATTTTCAACATAAAAATGATGGTTTCCTCACATACTTGTGTAAAACTCAATTTTATCAACTTTATCAGTCTTTTAGTTTTTGCTGATACAATGTCCAAAATATTATTGTTTTACTTTGCCCTCCTTTGATTACAACAGAGAAAGACTGTCTTTTCACATATAAGTTAGCCATCAGTATTTCCCTCTTATGGGAATGGCCTCCTTTATTCTGTTCAGATATGGGCTAAGTAATTGGCACAAGAGACCTTAAAATATAATGGTTCAGATAAGTTTATTTCTTTCCCACATTATAGGTTAAGTAGTCCCAGCTGCTCTGGTGGTTCTGATCACCATAGTAATTTAGAGACTCAGGTTCTGTTATACATTGAAAGAAAGAAAAAGGAGAAAACTTCATTGAAGGAAAGTAATTTGCTATTAAGCTAGTGAAAGAGAAGTTATGCATGTTACCTTAGCTCACATTTGAGTTTCATGGCCACACCTAAGTGCAAGAGAAGCTATGAAATGTATTCTCTAAGCGGGTGGCCATATGCTCAACTAAGCATCTATTACTATGGAAGGACGAGAGTAGCTTTCAGGGCTCAACTAGCAGTCCAAGGCAGTATTCTTTGCTCACATTTCTAGAGTTTATTTCTCCTCATTTATAGATCTTATCGTATAATAAATATTTTTTTATCTGTCACTCATAAAGATTTTTCTAATATATACCACACAATTTTATTTATTGAATGATAATAATATAGTTTAATATTCCTCCTCACCACTCTTCTTTAGAAAAACATTTTCTCTTCATCCATTGTTTTTTTCATACAAGATTAAGCATTATTTCATCAAGTTAAAAAGAAATTCCATTCAGTCCAAAGTAACATTGTTTTTAAATTGATATTACTCCTTAGGCAGTTTAGTTTCTGGAACTCTTTTTGCTTTATAGCCTACAAATATCTTTAATAAAGTTTTAAAGATGTAATACATAGGAGTGGCATAGCAATGTCTTGCTGTTTATACTACTTTAAAAACTCATATCCTTAAATATGCTAATAATCTGAAGAAATAGAGAATCCCTTACATTGTGTAGCAAAACTTCATGTTTTGTTACGGTTTTAGTTGACTCTTCCATGGGAGGCTCTGTGGCATCTTTTGCAAGGGAAATGGCAGGAAGTGTGTTTTTTGTTGATTGTAAAATTGTTTCAGTTTTTGAGCTTCCTTTAAAAGAAGTTATATAAGTGGGAGGGGATTAAGGAAATCCTAAGGAGGCTAGAAGTTCTGAAAGAACAGAGAGGTTTTCATGGGAAATGTGTTTCTGTTTTACAGTAATGAAATTTCCAAGCAGTAGATTTTATTATATGTAATAAGTAAGCTCTGAAGGCATGAACTCCCCTGTTGTTTCTTCAGAACCTCCCTAAGTATCCCTACCCAATCCCATCCTCATTAAACTTAAAAGCATAATCATTTTTGTAGCTGTCAGAGCATCTTAGTGTAGCTTGGGCTCATGAATAGACAAGCGTCCATGTCATATTAAATGGCAACTAGTCAGTAAATCAGTGTGCTTTGACCACTTTTAACAGTTGACTTGGAGAACTCAGATTTATTCCACAATTTTTAGGTTAATACTAAGTTAAGAAAATGAAAAACAGTATTTCTGAAGTAATCTCCTAAATATAATCTTTTAAAAATAATTTTTAAAATGTAAATAAGACATAATATGGATATAAAATATGCCTCTAGATCTCTATTTGAGCTTACTTCCGTGTTAAATACTTTAAAAAATTTTTGTTTTAGGGAAGTATTATGATATAATGGAAAGAGTACAGGCTTTAGAGAAACCTGATTTCCAGGTTTAGTTCTAACATTTTGACCAGTTCTATGACTTGGAGCAAATTATATAATCTTTCTCAGCTTTAGCTTCATATATAAAATGGGGATAATAAGTATCCTCTGAATTAATTTGACCAGTGGGTGAGTTAACGTAAGCATTTTGCATATTACATATAATATAATCAACAAATGTCATTTCTACTTTAAAATCTATAGGTGATATCACTAAGCCCTTACCATATCCCTAGATAAGTGCATTACATGGGTATCTCTTAATTCTTTCCACCTTGTGAAATTGGTTTAGTCTCTCCTTCAGTTCAGTTCAGTCACTCAGTCGTGTCTGACTCTTTGTGACCCCATGGACTGCAGCATGCCAGTCCCTCTTTACAAATAAAGTAAAAGTGAGAGGGGTTGAGTTGCCCACTATCATTTAACTAGTAAGTGGCAGGCCCGAGACCCAAATAAAGCCCTTACACACTGTGACAGACACTGACTCTGAACTGTAGCAAGAGGGACTAGGTTCATGTTATATACTTGGGTATATACAAGATATATATACATGACTTGGAAGTCATTTGGAAGGAAAAATGGAGGGAAGGAAACCATGAATGAAGATTTCAGCAGATGAAACTGGAAAAAAGCAGTGGTGGCGTGCATTTGGTAGATGCAGAAGAAGAGTTCAGACAAGGGTGACTAATGAGCGATAGTAAAGGAAAGTGGAATGTGTGACTCATTCGGTGGCGAGGTTTCCTTTTGGCAACTGTACCCTTGCTGTGAGCACAGAAAGACAACAGATTGTTGAAGAAACTGTCAGAGCATTAACTTATGAGTCTAAGGAGAGGTTTTTTATTATTCCCCCATTTGGCTTGCTTTCTGTTTATTGTCTTCTTCCTTTTCAGTGTTTCTGGGTTAAGATACTTCAGATGCTTCTCCCTTATGCTCAGTCGACTCAATTCTTAGGCACATTTTCTGGGTTAATCTACCCTTGTTTTTATTAGTCCCCATGATTTGTTTACATCTTTTTAACGTCAGGATGTTATTCTCTATTTTAAAATTGAAGTACTGGGAATTCCCTTGTGGTCCAGTGGCTAAAACTCTGTGCTCCTGATGCAGGGGAACTGGGTTCGATCCCTGGTTAGAGAACTAGATCCCACATGCCACAACTAAGACTCTATGCAGCCAAATAAATAAAAATAAATGTTTAAAAAAAAATAAAATTGAAGTACTGGAAGAAATAGTTATTTTAAATCTGAATGATAAATTGGAATAATGTTAAAAAATTCTATTTATTAGATGTAGTGTCTCACTGTGAAATCAGCCTTCTCCACACTTTTTCTACAAATACTATTTTCTCTTTTTAAATGAGATATATATATATTATACGTATGTAATAAGTATATATATGTTGTTCAATGCTAAATCATGTCCATATATAAAAGAATAAAATTTATCCTGATAAATATAAATGGGTATATAAGTCTCTCTTCCCTTTCTCTTTTATGAGGAATTTATTTGTATAGTTGCCGTTATTTATTTTCATGTTGCTAACCTTTAAGATTTACATTCTAAGTAACTCACATATCAGTAGAGTATTGTTAGGTATAGTCATCATACTGTACCTTAGACCCCAAATCTTATTCATCTTTTTTTTTTAACTGAAGTAGATCAGTTGACCTGTAACACTGTGTTAGTTTCAGGTGTACAACATAGTGTTTTGATATTTCTGTATGTTACAAAATGATCACCACGGTAGGTCTATAGTTACCATCTGTCATCATACAAAGTCATTATAATATTATTCCCCATGTTGTACATTTCATTCTCATGACTCATTTATTCTGTAACTGGAAGTTTGTACCTTTTATTTTTTTTTAAGTTTGTACCTTTTAATCTTCCAATGAGGAAAAAATGTCAAAGCAGATAAAGTCTTTCTCCTGATGGAACTCACAATGTAGAAGCTAGTATGGTAAGTGCCATCTAAGAGCAAGAAAACAAGTAAGGGAACACTGAATTCTGTGGCACAGGGGACCGAGACCTGGTGTGACTGAGGGGCCTCTGAGCTCCTTGAGGGCTGATGTCAGAACTGGGAAGGGTACTGCATGCAGAGCAACAGCCTGAAGGCACAGAGCAGCTAGGTCACTCAGCGAGTTTCAGGCTAAACAAGGTTGGATCCTCTCGGAAGCCTCACTGTGGCTATTGGAGACAAATGTGAATCAGAGTGATTGTTTATAAAAGAGGGATTGCAGTTCTTTGTTTGTTTTCTCAGGGGTTTTTTGTTTGTTTGTTTGCTTGTTTGTTTTTGGTTTTACTTTTTCTAAAATGATTTTTAATTGGAGGATAAAGGAGTTACAGTTTGACTTGTACCTAGGAGTTAACTAGTGTCACTATAACATTAAGAAAGAAGACCTTGAAAAGAAAATTTCTGCAGAATGAAAACAAGGTTGACGTCAAACAAGGGGGAAAGGCTCCATTATACCCCCATGAAAGTCTCCCACCTTTTATAAAACCTCTAGGGATTGTCACATTTCATTCAGAGCTCACCCCACTTGCTTATTTCTGGCTGCTTTTCTCTTAATTTTTTGTTGCTTTGTTGTAGAGCTTTCCAGGGATCCTTTTATGAGTTAAAGTTGCATTTGTTAAACTTGGACCATGTGGCAGATATACCTCCACGCTCTTCATGTATTCTGTTGCATTCAGTAGCTTGCTTCCCTCTTCTCTTCATGATTTTACTTGATGGTCTTCCTGACTTCCTTATATGTTGCTAGATTAAAATGGTCACACAGTCACCGTCAGCTGCAGAGGAAGCTAGAATATTGTATATTTAGCTTTTTCAGCCTGCACGGTAGAGGCCACAAGAACGGAACACTTGGGAATGGGTGTGTTTGCTACGTAAGCCGTTTCTCGCTGCCCTGCTTTGGTTATTTCTTTCATTTCTCTGTCTTCTTTCTTATCAGTCCAACTGTTTTTCTCTAAAGAAATAAAATTCTGTAAAGATCAAGATTGCTCACTGTTATTGTTGAAATGTCATGGAAGAATAAATTACAGATTAAATTTTCAACTTCGATTCAAATAGACTATCAATTATCAAATTTTAGCCTTAAAATAGCAATTCTACAGAAGGAATCTTTACATCATGCCTTAAGACAATCAGTTGTACAGTACTGTTCAACATAAACATCATATGCCAAAGTATAATCGTTTATTGTACATTTCCTTTCTTAGTATTTTAAGACATTAATATTATGAGTCAGATGGAAGTTGTTTATTTTACCCAAACAGAAGCTTTTAGTTACAGTAAGTTTTCCAGATTTATAAAGCAGTAGAATCATTTGATATATAAGCAGTTGGAATGCTTTATTCATTCAGTAAATATTTATTAAGTACCTGTTATGTACTTGTGGGTATTGAAAAATGAAAGAGTTAGTAGGGAATGATATTTGAGAATAGACTGCTTATGTTCTTGGAAATAAAAACCATTACCAGCCTTAATAAACAATAATCAAATATATATAGACAGGTATGGGAATGGGTAGATGAGTGATGGCCAGGTGGATGGACAGAGACAAACAGACACCTACTGAAAATAAGATTGGTGTTGGGACTTCCTTGGCAGTTTAGCAGTTAGCATTTGGTGCTTTCACTGCCATGGGCTTGGGTTCAATCCCTGGTCAGGGAACTAAGATCCCACAAGTGGAGTGGGGGAAGAAAAGAGTAGTGTTATGATTACTGTTATTTCAATATTATATTCCTAAAATGTGTTAACTTTTCAAAAATTAAGGTTGACAGATTTGCAATGGAATTGGAACAGAGCCGGGATCTGAACAGTACCATAGTGCACATTGACATGGATGCTTTCTATGCAGCAGTAGAAATGAGGGACAATCCAGAATTGAAGGATAAACCCATTGCTGTAGGATCAATGAGTATGCTGGTAAGTAGGTAAGATTGGCGACAAAAAAGAAGTTTCGTGACATATTCATACTCAAGTAATCCTTACTGGTTCATGAAGGGAAAAGACCTTATTAAGCTCTACCAGTTCTATCAGAATATTTTTCTAAGTGTTTTATAGGTATGCACTTACTGAATCCTTTCAACATCGCTTGAGGTACAAATTTTTATTTCCATTTGACAGATAAGGAGACAAATTCAAAGAAGTGTTTTATAATGTCCCCAGTGTTATCATTTCAGTTCAGTTCAGTTCAGTTGCTCAGTCGTGTCCAATTCTTTGCAACCCGATGGACTGCAGCATGCCAGGCCTTCCTGTTCATCACCAACTCCTGGAGTTTACTCAAACTTATGTCTATCAAGTCAGTGATGCCATCCAAACACCTCATCCTCTGTTATCCCCTTCTCCTCCTGCTCTCAATCTTTCCCAGCATCAGGGGCTTTTCTAGTGAGTCAGTTCTTCCCATAATGTGGCTGAAGTATTGGAGTTTCAGCTTCAGCATCAGTCCTTCCAATGAACACTCAGGACTGATCTCCTTTAGGATGGACTGGTTGGATCTCCTTGCAGTCCAAAGTACTCTCAAGAGTCTTCTTCAACACCACAGTTCAAAAGCATCAGTTTTTTGGTGCTCAGCTTTCTTTATGGTCCAACTCTCACATCCATACACGACTACTGGAAAAACCACAGCCTTGACTAGACAGACCTTTGTTGGCAAAGTAATGTCTCTGCTTTTTAATATGCTGTCTAAGTTGGTCATAACTTTTCTTCCAAGGAGTAACCATCTGTAATTTCATGGCTGCAGTCACCATCTGCAGTGATTTTGGAGCCCCCCAAAGTAAAGTCTGTCACTGTTTCCACTGTTTCCCCATCTATTTGTCATGAAGTGATGGGACCAGATGCCATGATCTTCATTTTCTGAATGTTGAGTTTTAAGCCAACTTTGTCACTCTCCTCTTTCACTTTCATCAAGAGGCTCTTTAGTTCTTCTTCACTTTCTACCTTAAGGGTGATGTCATCTGCATATCTGAGGTTGTTGATGTTTTTCCCGGCAATCTTGATTCCAGCTTGTGCTTCATCCAGCCCAGCATTTCTCATGATGTACTCTGCATATAAGTTAAATAAGCAGGGTGACAATATACAGCCTTGACATACTCCTTTTCCTATTTGGAACCAGTCTGTTGTTCCATGTCCAGTTCTAACTGTTGTTTCCTGACCTGCATACGGATTTCTCAAGAAAATGTTATAAACCTGGTAAATGATAGAGTGGCATTTTATCTTTCTGTTGCAAATTAATTTTTCTCAAGTAATTGTTCTAGTTAAAGAGAATTGAAAAAGAAAGAAAAGGAAATGTTATTCTAAAGCAGAAATTTGCAAACAGTGGCCTACAGGCCAAGTCCCGCCTGCTGCCTTATTTTGTAAATAAACTTTTATTGAATTCAGCATTGTCAGTCAACTATGTGTGTGTGCCTCGTGGCCCAGTCATGTCGGATTCTGTGACCCCGTGGACTGTGCAGCCAGCCAGGCTCCTCTGTCAATGGAATTTTCCAAGTTAGAGTACTGGAATGGGTTGCCATTTCCCACTCCAGGGGATCTTCCCAGTCAGGGATTGACCCCACATCTCTTCTGCCTCCTGCATTGGCAGGCAGAGTCTTTACCACCATGGCACCTACTCCAATAAAAATTTAAAAAATTTTATTGGAGCAGTGTCACACCCACTCACTTATTGTTGTTTCATTAGAAGAGCAGAGTTAGGAATTGCCGCAGAGACCACATGATCTGCAGAGCCTAAGGTGTTTGAGCATTTACAGCAAAAGTTTACCAACACCAGTTTTGGAGTAAGGTGTTTTATTAATATGAGTCCTGTAACTGAGTAGTTCTTTCCATGACTTGAAGCCTTTGCGTTTCTGTTACTGTGTGGCTTTTCTTTATTACCACCCTCACCATAGCAGGTAAGTGACCAGGACAGCTGTGTGTAGCCAAAAATGGGTTGGGAGTTTGAAACAGCAACTGAAATAGATGAGTTTGGTTTAAAAAAAAATACACGAGAAATAAGGAAGGTTCTTCTTTGTTCTAACTCTTTTAAATGCCTTCGATAGCTATTAACATGATTCCTGAGTTGTTATTTTATTATGAAACTACAGTCTGTTTGTTCATTCTCTCTGCTCCCACAAGTATGTGGGCAACTGACAGTCCTGGTTCTAAAATAACTTTATAGGAAAGTACACTCCCCTTTCCTGCAAATCATCAGCTAATACTTAAAGTATTCAGTGTTATTAAGAAAATATATCACCATGTATTTATGTGAAATTATGCACATGAGCCCCTTGGTACTTAGTGAACATTCGTTTGGGCTCATGATTCTGTAATTTGAGCCGAGTACAATGGGGAGGGTTTGTTCATCCCACTTGGGGTTGGCTCGGACTTTGCCTGGAGCTGTGGGATCCCAAAGGCCTTCACTCACATCCCTCCAGCTATGATCTTTCCCCTCCACATGGTGCTTGCTCCTCCACATGGTCTTATTAAATCCTGGTAATAAGATCTCTGTAATCTAACAGGAGATCTTCACGTAGTTGCTGGACCCCACAGAAGCAAAGGCAGAGGCTGCAGACTTCTTCATGCCTGGGTTCAGGACTCATATAATGCCACTCCCTCACCTTCCTTTGGTCAAAGCAAGTCAACACTAGTCTCTTGGTAGGAGGAACTAGAACCCACCTTTTGACAGGAGGAACTGTGAAAGATTGTGACTGTGACCTACAGTCCCCCACAAACCTAAATGTCAAAGGATGTCATATATAAAATTGGTTTTCTACTCTACTGTAGATCTAGCTTTTTTAATATCAATCCCAATAGATTTCTTCATATTAATATTTAAAGCATTGGTTTGTCTTCCAAGTGCTGTCTGCATTTTCTATTCCAGAATGTTGACCAAGGATTAGCATAGTTTTGATTACTATCAAGATTTTTAAATGCCACTTGAAAACTATAAATGGCTAATTTATATTATCATTTCTGAAATACCCTTTCATTTGGTAGATTTTGTTTTACGTTCTTTGAATTTTTCGCTTGAGATTCCAAAGATTCCATTTGTGATTAATTTTTTCTAAATGGTACTGTGGCCTACCACATTAGCCTAGATTGTTGCCAGGTATTTTCATCAACAGGATTAATAAGTAATGTTTTCCTGTTTACTCTCATAATTATTAAGTGCCATCTCCCAGTTAAAATGTTTTCACCAAAAAAAAAAATTTCAGCCTTAAGAAATAAAGCTTAATTTTAAAAGTTCTTTTGTGCTTTAATCATTTCATGTTTGAGACTTAATTTAACTGACCATATATTAGACTATATATTTCTTTTTTTTCTAGATGAAAAATTTCCCAAATCCCAAATAGAGAAAATTCCAAATCCATAGTATTATACTATACTATTACTTTATATACTTTTACTTTCTGTAACTTCTATAATGTTTGTACTGTATAGCTTTATACTACTATAACTTTAATATAAATCCCCTTCTATCATCTAAACTTTTGTATATACTGTGTTACAGATATTCGTTAAAGCCAATGAAGTTTAGTTACTTGAAATGTGAGAGAACCTTTTTAAAGCACAGTCTTGCTTTTTACCTCATGTCGCACTATAAATATGAGACAGCAGTGGGAGAGGGTCGTGGCACTATACCATGATACGACGAAGTCAGAAGCTTGGTTTGAGACAGTGGCCTATAAAAGAAATGTCTTTGAATTGAAAATGCACATCAGTCATGTGGTTCTCTTGAAAGCATTGCTCAATATGTCAGTTTTGGTTTGAATGTTTTTCCCCGTGTGGCCCACTTTCTTTCAGTCTACTTCAAATTACCACGCAAGGAGATTCGGTGTTCGTGCAGCCATGCCAGGATTTATTGCTAAAAGACTCTGCCCACAGCTTATTATAGTGCCCCCAAACTTTGACAAATACCAAGCTGTGAGTAGAGAGGTAAGTCTGCTATCTCACTCCTACTTATAGCCTCTTGTTGATTCCGCGTCATATAGAGAGACAGGTCCAAATACCGTAGCACATCAGAATCTATCCTTATCTTATCCCTGTAAGTGTCTCTTCTACCACTTCCTCAGCTTATGTATCAAATATTGAGCTGCAGATATGTCCAGACTATGCCCTTCTATTTCCCAGTTTTTGGTTTTTGTTTTTTTTTTGCTTTTCCATGTGTTTTCTCATCTGCATAGAAAATTCTTATCTCCCCAGAAAACCCTGCATTACCTTAATTATAACCTAAATTAACTTTAGCTCTTTTTCTGTTAATGTGCAATGTACATTTTCTTCTAGAATCACCTTATATTTATAACCTGCAGACTTAATTCCATATCATTAATTCCAAGCTCTTTTCTGAGTAAATTTTTTATCAATGTTTTTTAACAGTAACAACATTAACTTATTTTGATTAGCTGCTCTCCTGGCCCCATAATCTAGTGAAGGTGCTTATGAGCATTTAATATCCCGAAAACCATAGTCAAAGAAAAAGGGGAATAATACACTGGGTTACCATTTCTTTCTCCAGGAAATCTTCCTGACCCAGGGCTCGAACCTACATCTCCTGCATTAGCAGGAGGATTCTTTACCACTGAGCCACCTAGGCTTTTAATACTAATAAGTTTGAAAATCCTTCAAAGACTTTGTAAGAATTTTTTTAAGTTCTGCTTTAAGTCAGTAAAACTTCTGACAGCATAACAATGAGAACCAAATTGTTTTTGTTCCCTTTAGTCATTTACATAAGTTAGAGAAATCTGTCTTCAAATTTGATCAGGATCTAATTAGTTTATTTGCAGATGACAAGTGGGTTCTTATCTGTAAATGAACTGTAGTGCAGATGCACTGACAACAAATGCATCAATATTTATGGCTTGTTTAAAAGTTTAAGAAAAAGCCATTTTTGTTTTATCCAAAAGAGTGGAGTTGCTTTAACTGTTCTCCAAGCCTCAATACTTCGTTTTCACTGGAGCCTGTCTATTTTTGTTCTTGAAGAAGTATCTTATGTAAAGGAAGTTAGTGAGTACTCATTGTCTCCAGAGAGCACTTCTCATTCAGAATCATCTTAGTTGGCTGCCAACTACTGACTTTCCAGTTTCATTTTCACGAAAGATTCCATTTAAGCACATTGTGAAAATGATTTCTTCTATAAGAACAAAGCTAATTAAGGTACTTTCTGAGTAAGGCTTGGCCAAGTTTTTTGTGACATTTTCTAAAATTACCTTTGACTCAGCTGTTCATAGTTATGTTAAACGAAAAAGCTTTCTTTTTATAAAACATCTAGAAAGATTTTTCTCATGATACCACAGACAGCTTTAAAACACAAGATGAAACATTACATATTTCAGCAAATATGTTTTTCTAATATACATATTATTTTGGCAACCATTTCCTTTAATTTCAGCTAATACTTCAGTGGTTAAAAAACTTCACAGCAAAAAAAAAAAACTTCATAGCTTCATATAATAAAATTATCTTCTGTAAAAGGCATTTCTGGAATCATACAGAGATTCTGATGTCTTTACATATTTATTTTATTCCAAGATGCAACTCCAGACTTTTCCCCATCATGTAATATAGTCACAGGCTTAACACTCCAGTTTTTGTCATCTTTTCCATTCTAAATCCTGGTAGCTGTTTTGTTTTCTGAATGGATACATGCATTATTGAGTGGAGTTTTAGAGACATAATTAATTGAAGTAGAACTACTTTCTAAAGCAACATAGTACCTTCATGTAAGATTATTCCTTTTTAAAATGAACAAAAAGAGGTCATAAAAGGAGATCAAGATCCTGTTGTTCCCACTTCTGCTTTTGATCTGCTACCTAAAATTATGTTGCTTAACTTTTTCTCTGCCTATCAGAATAATGTTAAACATGTTCCTTTTGAAGGTTAAGGAAATCCTTACTGACTATGATCCCAATTTTATGGCCATGAGTCTTGATGAAGCCTACCTGAATATAACAAAGCATTTAGAGGAAAGAAAAAATTGGCCTGAGGACAAAAGGAAGTATTTCATCATAGCAGGGACCTCTCTAGAAAACGGTAAGCAATTTATTAGAATGATCAGATTTCAAAGAAACCCCTTTGGATTAACCAGTTAGCAGGCATAGATGTAGGACTAGGTATAGCTTTATTATGAAAAAGTATTAAAAATGAAAATCAGAAACTTAAATATACCAGTGGGATTTCTGAGATAAATGTGTGGAATGTCACTTTTAAACCAAATGAAATTCTAAAATCTCTAGAGTTTGAGTGTGCAGAGTCCCTGCCCAAAGTAATTTCATAGAAGTTTTTCTTAAGATCTAACCTAACTGAGGGTTGGATTGCATTGAATCTGAGGAGGTTCTCTGTTTAAGGTAGCCTTTGGTTGTAGCTGTTAATAATAGAAAATAGACTTAAAAAAAAAATTAGTCTCAAACATACTAAAACATTGGATGGGATTTTTTTTCCCCCCTTATTTCATAGATTTTCCATAATCTGGTTACTGTGATTACTGTTTTTAACCTTGCCAAAATTAATGATTCTCCAGTTCCCTTCTTTGCCTTAGACCTTATTTTGACTCTTTTTCTATGTAATGAAACAGTTTTATGACCCTAAGGGTTTTTTCAAATGGGACCCTTATCATCTATCCAAAACAATGCCAGAAAACATGCAGAGAGTACATGTACTCTGTCAGCTCTCTGTCCGAGGTGTGATTACTTCAAATGCCAGCGTTGTCCTGGACCCCTGAGCAAAGTTCACCTAGATGAAAAGGTAGAAATAGAGGGTTTGCTTGAAACCAACAGCCACGTTTCATGTGCACAACTCATTGACTGCTTCAGAGGGGACAGGCTACCATGGTTCGGGGCTCACATCTTAGGAACAAATTTAATATGGACATCAAATCATAATTTTATTACCTTGCTTAGAGCTCTATAAGGTCTCTCTCTTTAAGGAAATCATTAAACAATATAAGCAGTAAACAGTTCTGGACGTAGAGTCTTGAAGCAAAAGGTGTTTTGCTCTTAGTAGAACTTGTTCGGGGAAGTGACACACAACGCCTGAGATTGCTTAAAATCTTCCTCTATTCCTTAACTTTCACAAGAGAAAGGAGGGGAACCGTTAAATGTCAATAGTCACATTGACTCACTCCCTGAGGGTCTCCTGTATTCTTGGCGTGGTGTGCTCAGCTGTGTCCAACTCTTTGCAACCCCGTGGGCTGTAGCCTGCCAGGCTCCTCTGTCCATGGCATTTTCCAGGCAGGGATACTGGACTGAGTTGCTATTTCCTACTCCAGGGGACCTTCCCGACCCAAGGATCAAACCTGCGTCTCTTGCCTCTCCTGCGTTGGCAGGCTGATTCTTTACCACTGCGCCACCTGAGAAGCCCCTATAACAATTACTTTCACAATAAGTTATAAAAAATTATATTGGGGCTGAGATAAATGTTTTTATTCCCTACTAATGTTCTTTTCATTTACTGTACATCCAAACTCATTATGAGGCTGTGAATTTTTAATACCTGTCGTTCTTAACATTTATCGATGTACTTTCCTCTTCATGTATTTCATATTCTTAAGCAATTTAAATAGCTTAGCTTTTTTTTTTCATATCTAAGTCCCTGTGGACTGACCTTTCAGGCATGTCTGATTTCACATTATGCCAAGAGAAGCTTTCAACAGTGAATTCTCCAATCCTGCCTTTGGAGTCACGGCAGGTGGCTGACATATCTTCCTCTAAAGTCCAAGGCATTTTTCTGTTGTTTGCCCCTTTTCTAAAATGTGCAGTTTTGGAAAAGTATTGTTAACTACCATGTCTATATAGAAATAAAATAATAATAATTTTATGTTTATTCTTTCTTATAAATCTGGATGGTGCTAGCCAATATAAAAAACTAAAATACTGTACCGTATACTTTTTAGCACTTGCCATCCAGATGGGATCTTTAGTATTTCAGATTATCAGAAACCTTAATTTTGCACTTTGATCACCTCAGTTATGTGGCTTATAAAGATATTTCTTTCAGAAAGCAAATAGGAAACCACTTGAGTGGTTGGTTGCAGAGCCAGGCCTCACAGAGAAGTAGACAGATTGACCAGGTAACTACACCATTCAGCAGTGACTGAACAGTGAAGCTGAGAACGGCAGGCTTTGCTCTCTGTCATAGTGTTCCATAGTCAGTGCCTCACCTGAGGATGTGGTGACAAAAGCTTGCGGTGTAAAACATGGCCCAGGAACCGCAGAAGGGGGCTGTGAAGGTTTCTCTCTATGGAAAACCTGCGGGTTTTCCATAGCTCTTTACGTCGACTTCCACACGTCTAGGTGGGGAAAAGGGTCCAGGTAGATGCCATTTCAACTGTGCCACAGTCTTAATCCCCTCTGAATTGCTCTATATTTTAAAACCAAATAATGGAAAATGAACTGAAGTACATAAATAACAGCTAATATATAATTTGAAAATAAGGCTTATTTTGTAGTGGCCTGGGTATTCAGATTTGGAAAATATCTGTGACTTAATTGATATTGCATATTTTAAAATTTGATACTAATCAGGTGTCTGTCATATTATTTGTGTTATCTGTAAACTCTTTCCAAAAAGCCAGCTTCATTTTTTAAGTATAATGCGTTTGTATGTGTCTTGAAACTAAGAATTTAATCTTTGTTTCTGTATGTACCTTAATTTGGAAAATGTTCATGTGTAGTGAGATTATGAGCTGGAGGGAGTTCCTGGGTGGTCTTATGGTTAGGATTCAGTGCGTTGGCTGCTGTGCCCCAGGTTCAATCCCTGATCTGGGAACTGAGGTCCCACCAGCCACGTGGGGCTGCCAAAAATAAAAAAGAATTGTGGAATGGATCAGAAAGCTCTGTTGTTCATCTTATTTTTATAAATTTTTCACTTAAACCGATTTCTTCTCCATTAAGCCCAGAAAGTAAAGTTCATAGATTTGTTCATGAGGACATTTTTAGTATTGGTATAGATTTAAATGTATTTCACAATTTAAATTCATGAAAAACGCAAAAAAAAAAAAAAAGAAGTAATAACCAGATTAGTATTTTTGCTTTACTTTTTAATAATATCAGTTAATAGCCCTTTGATAATAAAGGCTTCTTACCCTTAAACTTGGATCATTGTTAATCTGATTAGACCTTAAGAATTTATATATTTAATGAAGTATAACTTCCAAAAATAATTTCTGTTTATTTCAAATGTGCTGTTAGTAAGAGTGATACTTTATAAAAAGAAAAAAGAAGTCAAAATTAAAATCAGCATTTGAAAGAATAAAATTCAGATTCTTTTAACACTTGGAAAGTTCTACCATGAATGAAGAAAACATTAAGGTTTTTTTCCCCTCTAAAAATAAAAATCTATCTTTCACACATAATTACTCTAGATTACTTAATGCCTTTTCCTTATTCTTAAATTCTAACTTAAGGTTCTTCTTTCTCCTAGAGATGAGTAAAGGGGAAAAAACTTTCTTTTTTTTTTTTTTTTTTTTTAAGAAAAAAGTACTGTGAATCTAATTCCAACTCTTGTTTTCAACTAATTTTGTTCAAAAATTAGTGAATTTTACCTAAGGTATTTCTTTTTAAACTGTATACAGTGGAAATGGGTGATATTCTTTTTAAGAACAGCTTAGAATCAGTGTTTTCTTTGTTAAACAGTTAAAAATATAAATGATAATGTTTCTGACCTTGGTTCTTAGAAACAAAACTAAATGAGATTTGTTTTGTCTTTAAAAAGACTGACGGAAACATAATTTATGAAGTATGTACTTCTTAGAATGAAGATGAATTACTGTTCCTGTTTACAATTTAGATAATCCAGGAAAGGAAGTTAACAAACCGAGTGAGCTGGGAAGATCCATCTCTCCACTCCTTTTTGAAGATAGTCCTCCTGATTTGCAGTCCCCAGGAAATCCTTTCCAAGTGAACTCTGAAGAACCGAATAATCCTCAAACACACCAAAACTCAGTTGTTTTTGGAACATCAGCTGAGGAAGTGGTGAAGGAAATCCGTTTCAGGGTCGAGCAGAAAACAGCCCTCACAGCCAGTGCCGGTACTGAAAGGATGTTGGTGGTTCTGATAGCTACAGCTTTCAGACTAGCTAATTCAAGTGTAATATTAGTAGTTTCTCAGTATAAAGTGTACGGTTAACAAATTTTATGTGGACCTTTTTTATTAATTTCTGACAGTTTACCTATTTAGAATGCTGTGAACCTATAGATAAATGGGAATTAAGCAGAAACGTCCATGTGTCCAAAGCAAAAACTTACCGTAAAGCTCATTTAGCTATCTTTTTCAAAACACAAAATATATTTTAATTTGGTTTTGGACATAATACTTTATCAGTTTTCCCTTTGAAGACTTACAGTACAAAAAAAGGGCCCAGGTGACTGTACAAGGTATGGACAAGACAGAAAAAACACCAGCAAGCTGCATAGCAATCTAGGATCATCTGGTAAAGGGGAAAAGAGCTCCATATGTCGGTCACTCACGAGGATATCTCTGTGTCTTAGTGCGGAAACTGATATTCACGAGGACCCTAGGTTATTTTGACAAAGCCATATTATAATTGGGTTACTCTTTTCTTCCTTTGGCAAAGTGTGAGAATAAGTAATAAATTTTAGAATGATATGTATAAAAATTGAAATAAACTTAATTATATTTGAATATACCTATTTCCAATTATCTTAATCATTAAGACACTTAGAAATTATAAAACACCTCTCTGATAAGTGGTGGTAATTTGCTTTGTGTGCATATAAAGTATGCACACATTTCATTATCATTGTTTTAAATATACTAGAAACCAGAATCTGATTTTTTTTTTTTCCTTTATGTGGGTAATCTATACGAAAGATCTTTTCAAAGAGAAAGCTTTCATCCTAAATTATATTCTCAATCTTTTCTATAAGACAGACTATATTCCTACTAAATATAGTAGGAAACTAATATTATCACTTAAACTCAAAAATTAAACTTTAAAATACCAGTGAGATTTAAATATTCCTCATTTCTGCTGCCACAGTAACTAATACAGTTTCTTTTTCCTGAAACCATAGCAAGCCTTGGGGAGATAGAGAATAATCAAATGTTATTTTTAAAGTGGCTTTCCACATAATTTCAGATTTTGTATTTAATTTTTTTATGTATTGTTATCACATGTTTTAAAATTATATACATCATGTTCTTTGAGTCATCGGAGTGTTCTTCTTTAAAGGCATTGCACCCAATATGATGTTAGCAAAAGTATGCAGTGATAAGAATAAACCAAATGGACAATACCAAATTCTACCTAACAGGCAAGCTGTAATGGACTTCATCAAGGACTTACCCATTAGAAAGGTGAGATTTTATGTGAAATTTATCCTCTATATATACCCTCTGATTTCTGAAGAAATAGTTAAAGAGGATTAAGAAGTACAAACTTGGAGTTATTTAAAAAAGAAAAAGTCATGTAATGAATAGCCTAGAGTCTATAGTCAATAATATTATAACTTTCTATGGGGACAGATGGTTACTAGACTTACTGTGGTGATTGATTTGTAATGCATATAAATGTCAAATCACTGTGTTGTACACCTGAAACTAATGGTGTATGTCAACCATAACTTTGATTTAAAAAAACGAAAAGAGAATAAGAAGTCATTTATTCTACCATTCCCTGAGTTTATATGACCACAGAACTCTTTTATAAATGCTTTTTAAAAACTCCATGGAATTTAAAAGTTTTAAATTCCCATGCAACACTAGTGTAGGAAATACGGCCAAAAATTATTTAAAGTCATTTTCTTCCATGACTTTTAAAACTAGGACATTATTTATACCTTTTATGAGTTATAAAAGGTATGATGAGATTATAAGATCAGTTCTTACCTTAATTTTAAAATGTGTTAATGATAAATGTTGATTCTCTTCTAGGTTTCTGGAATAGGAAAAGTTACAGAGAAAATGTTAAAGGCCCTTGGAATTATTACTTGTACAGAACTATACCAACAGAGGGCATTACTTTCTCTCCTTTTCTCTGAAACATCTTGGCATCATTTCCTTCATATTTCCCTGGGTCTAGGTTCAACACACCTGGCAAGGTATCTGTATCTATAATCATTCTGCTTTTTCTTTATCTTCTGCTGAAATAACAGTTTTCACATTGAGATAGAGGCTAGAAGGATAACATGTTTTAAATTCTTTTAGGCTAGCTCAGCTCAGAATATAATTTTTGAATTAGAGTCAAAAGATTGGATATGAGAGAAAAGGAAATGATGAATAAAGAATCCCTCCTAGGTTGTTGGCCCCTGCAGCTGGATAGATGGGTAAGAGGAACGATGGGTGCTTTCTTTTCTGAACCTGCCTTGTTCTTTGTTCAGAACATAAGAATACTGGTGGTTGGAATGTTGAGGAAAGAAAGATGGCTTATGCTGCAGAACTCACTCTTTAAGCAAACAGGTGTAGTGATTCTTTGAAATCCTTTATGAACTACCTGCATTTCTCCTCTTCTACCGAGTACATTGAGTTAGGCACCATTCTAGGCACTGGGGATAATGGCAATAAACAAGATGGAATGCTGCCTTCATAAAGTTTGCAGAGTAGTGTGGGAAAAAGAAAGTCACCAAGTGAAGAAAGTAAGGCAGAGTAGGGGCCTAGAGATTGACCTGAGAGGGTCAGAGGCGGTGCTGGCTGTAGTCCTCCAGTGGTGGAGACCTGAAGGCCAGCAGGCAAAGACCCAGGAGAAGAGGAGACAACTAGAGAAGCCCTGTGCTTTCTCCCTGCTGCTTCATCCTGCTCTTAAAAGGAATCCCAGAGCCAGAAGGGTACGCTGTTTAGGGTGGGTGAAAAGAAGGCACTAAACGAATGAGAATTAACACTAAACTAAACTAAAAGACCCTGAAGGCGGGAGGAGAAGGGGACGACAGAGGATGAGATGGTTGGATGGCATCACCGACTCCATGGACATGAGCTTGACTTGTCTCTGGGAGTTGGTGATGGACAGGGAGGCCTGGTGTGCTGCAGTCCATGGGGTCACAAAGAGTCAGACACGACTAACTGAACTGAAACTAAAAGATGACTGAGGAGGCGTATAAAGTGTTTGCTTAATCAGTTAAATCTGTTAAATCTTACAGAGATTGCAAGGCCTATGCTCTTGCTTTTCTCATCTTTCTGTGCTCCTCATTCTTTCGAATCCAGGTAGCTGACTTTGATCCTGAGTGGGTGTAATGAAAGATAAGAGAAGGACATCACAGTACTATAGATAATCCAGTATTTGAAGATGATGGAAAATAAAACTTTCTTCTTTATTCCAAAAATTACCCTCTTTTTATTTCCGTAGTGCTTGAAAACAGTATAGTTTTTAATATAACATAACCAGATATTAACCAGTGGTAGAGATGCAGGTAATGCTTTTAAGTGAAACTCATAGGTAATTTTTAAAAATATAAAATAGCAAACCTACTTTCCTTTCTATATTCTCTATTTCCCTAATTAGCTTTATTTTTTTAATCTCTTGTGCTTTTTACTTTTTAATCTGTTCTTTATTTATTTCTGTATTTGTCTGCCTCCACCAAGATAGAAGTTTCTTAAAGGCAGGCACTTGGTCTGTTTTGTTCATTATTGTATCTCCAAGGCCTAGAACAATGCTTGATTCATAATTGGTTCATGAAATATTTGGAAAATGAATAATCTATGTGTCATTTCAGATTTTTGGTTTTAACTACTCCTGTCAGAGCAGCTAAAATCTAACCTAACTAGATGATTCAGATCCACAGTCATCATCCTGTTGCCATAGACCACATTTTGACTGAGCTTCTGTAGAGTGGTATAGGTAATAAATAGGCTAGTACTGATATGTCCAAGGCCAAAAACTAGATAATCAAACTGTTCAAAATTAAATTATATCTTATAACTGAAAGCCATTATGCTACCACATTCTGTTGATTTTATCAGTTGTGAGTTTTGATATTCAGGTTTTTAATAGAAACAATTTATAATATCCTATTTTCAGATGTGTTCTTTGATAGATATAGATGTGATCCATCATGCATGTAATTATATTAGCTTATCTATCTACATTCTTTGGTGATAGATTTTAGATTAAAAAACTCACTGTATTTAATGATATATAACTTTTAATCCAAAGTATTATTGAGATCTCTAATTTAGCTGATGTTAAATCATTTTGGTTGACTAAAAGGAACTCAGTGTTGTTTGGAAAGCAAATAAAAATCTTTTTATTTTTTTCATTTCAAGGGATGGAGAGAGGAAAAGCAGGAGTGTTGAGAGGTAATGTTTTATTACTAATTATTCATAATTTGTATAATTTTAAACTAATTTTTAATAAAATATCACTGAAACTTAAAAAATCTATTTGTAGACCAGATAACAATTTTCAGCAGTTGACACGCCTAAAGTAAATATTCTAGTACAGTGCTTTATTATCTTTGCTTGCTATGCTGTCAATGGGAAAAAAAAATTTAACTGCAGCTATTTTTTTTTCATGTTTTGTTCCTATTCAATGAAAACCAAGAATTTTAGGATTCCAAGTCTTTATTTCTAGGTTTGTTTATAAGAAGAATAATACTGAGTAGTTAATTTAAGATACAATAATGGAAGTTTTCCCTGAAGTTCTTCAAATACTGGTAAATGACTGAAGGGACCAAATAGTAAGATCCCGATGAACAAGACCTTAGAGGTGATCTCATTCAGTGGCTTCCAATCCTGGTTGGAAGTCGGCTGAAATCTCGATGGAGCCTTATTATCTTGGGATATATGTCATTGTCTGAGAAGCCACTCACTTCTCTCCCCAAGGAACCACAGTTCCACTGAGACATTTAAGACTCGGGCTGAGACTTGTCTGGTGGTCCAGTGGTTAAGGGTCTGCCTCCAGAGCAGGGACATGGCTTCATTCAGTCCCTCGTCGGGGGAGCTAGTATCCCCCACGTGCACCTAAGCCCACGCACTGCAACTGCGGAACCTGCGCTGCAGCTTCGAAGCCCGTGCTCCGCAGCCAGAGAAGCCACCGCAGGGAGAAGCCCACACACCACAGCTGGGGAGTAGCCCCACTTGCTGCAACTAGAGAAAGCCTGCACACAGCAACGCACAACAGCAACGAAAGAACCTTGGACCTACTGTGAGGCTGTGTTCATTTTGCACATATGTTATTGGTGATCAGAAAAACTGAATAACTTTTCTAAAACAACACACTCAGTAAATGACTTAATAAAAATTGCTGTTTTAGGCTGTGATTTACATAAGAGCAAAGGAAAGGGCTCCCCTGGTGGCTCAGCGGTAAAGAATCATCCTGCAATGCAGGACATAAGAGATACAAGTTCAGTCCCTGAATCGGGAAGATTCCCTGAAAGAAGGCATGGCAACCCACTCCGGTATTCTTGCCTGGAGAATCCTATGGACAAAGGAGCTGGCAGGCTCCAGTCCATTGGGTCACTAGGGGACAGACATGCCTGAAGCTACTTAGCACGCACGTACACACACACATGCAACCAAAGGAAAAGAGGGGAAAAAGCATTCAAATGTGAGATAGCATTGTCCTGTTTCCTATTTAATGATTTTTTCCCTCCTATTTTGTCTTCTCTTTTGTTATTGAGAACATTGCTTGCTGTACAAGAATATTAACTAATATTACTATTTCTTAAGAAAGGGCCAGCAAACCAATAGGAAAAAATGAACAGAGATCCAATTAGTTAACGGAAGAGAAGGTACAAATGGCTTTACAAACATGTGAAAATAATCCCAGTCTCTTATTTAAGAAATACAGATTAAAAATTCCCTGAGATAGCATTTTTCATTAATCAAGTTGGCAAAGATACACACACCATTGGCAAAACTATGTGAGTGAAAAAGGTATTGAACTCTAAAGGAGAGTGTGCTAGTTTCTAATTAGTGGTTCTGAAGGTCAGAAGTCCTAAAATTAAAGTGTCAGCAGGGTTACATTCCCTCTAGAGGCTCCTGAGCAGAGTCCATTTCCTTACTAAAAACTCCTAGAGACCACTTGCATTCTTTGGCTCACACGCCGTTCTCCATCTTCAGATCCCACATTTTGTCTTTCTTGGACTCACCCTCCTGCGTCATAAGGAACCTAGGGCTTACACTGAACCTACCTAGATAGTCCAGGATCATCACCCCCATTTTAATTTAGCCACATGTGTAAAATTCCTTTCACCATGTAATGTACTAGATTCTAAGAGATTAGGATTTAGACATCTTTGGGGACCATTATTTGGCCTACCACAGGGAGCAAGCGATTTTGTCTATCAAGATNTTTCACCATGTAATGTACTAGATTCTAAGAGATTAGGATTTAGACATCTTTGGGGACCATTATTTGGCCTACCACAGGGAGCAAGCGATTTTGTCTATCAAGATACACAGGTACTTTGATCCCACTATTCTCTTTATCCCACTATTCTCTTTATTCCACAGGTGTCATCACATGTCATTTTACATGTATACAAAGTTGTGAATTGCATTTTTTTTATATTAGCAAAAGATTGGAAATAACCTAAGTATCTACAAATAGAGGATTGGTTAAATGATCTTATGTATTTAAATTAGGATATCATGCTGCCATATAAAGGGCTTCCCTGGTAGCTCAGCTGGTAAAGAATCCACCTGCAATGCAGGAGACGCCGGTTCAATTCCTGGGTCGGGAAGATCCCCTGGAAAAGGGATAGGCTACCCTCTTCAGTATTCTTGGGCTTCTCTGGTGGTTCAGCTGGTACAGAATCGCCTGCAATGCATGAAACCTGGGTTCGATCCCAGGGTCAGGAAGATCCCCTGGAGGAGGGCATGGCAACCCGCTCCAATATTCCTGTCTGGAGAATCCCCAAGGACAGAGGAGCCTGGTTGGCTGCAGTCCATGGGGTCACAAAGAGTCGGACACAACTGGGTGACTAAGCACAGCACAGCACAGCTGCCTTATAAAAATGAGGAAATCATTTACTTACAGGGAACTCACCAGGATGAATGAGAAAAGTAAAGTGGTAAACAATGTCTGATATTTTACTATTTATATAGGGGAAGTGTTTGCTCATTTATAAAAGTATAACGTACTTTTTATATGCATACAGTATTCTAGAGGAATAAATAGTAAATAGGAAGCTGGCCATGTTGGTTGCCGCTAGGGAGGAGAACTGGGTTGCTGTGGGCAACTGGGTTACAAGGGGCACTTTTCACTGAATGACTCTTCAGGGTTTGCTCAAGGTTTTTTTTACTGGTTACCCTGCTCTATCTTTAGTGTCTTCCTCTTTTTTGTTAATATGACCTTCAACACCCTTGTGCAAATGAACTCACAAGTTCTGCATTTAATCTTACCAGCCCATTTCCAATTGTCTATTAAACAACTTTATATAGGGGCCGTGAACCAATCCCGTAAACCTACTTGAGGATAATTCTCTTCCAGACAATATTCATGCAATAATTGGAGTGATGTTCTCATCTGTACTTTCTTAAGACAGTGCTCTGTAACAGAGTCTGTATACCTATATATCCTAATGTTTTGTAAGTTCTTGGGGCATTATCCTTATATGTTGGTGAGTTTAATCATCTTTTAAAAAATATTATAGAGAACAAATGTACCTTTGCTAATCAGTTTAGCTATAAATAATCTCCCATTATTTAGGAAGATCTTGAATGTTGTTACTTAATTATATCTTAGTACATCTGGAAACTTTATTCAGTACTATAGAAAATATACCTTAACGCTAGGCCATTTGCATGGACTGTATCATTTCTAAATTATCCTGAAGTATAGTTGACTTTGGGCACTCAAGTCATTCTTGTCTTCGTAGGACATTTAGTGAGATAAGTAAAGCAGAAGAACAGTACAGCTTGTGCCAAGAACTTTGCAGTGAACTTGCTCAAGATCTGCAGAAAGAAGGACTTAAGGTACTTTATTTTTATGTGGTATTCTTAGTTTTCTAAATTTTTAATAATAAAAAGCAACCTTAAACTGAGAGTTAGATTTTGCATTTAAAAACAAATTGGGATATATCAAAAGAGTTCTTATCTTCAGTAGAGACAAGTTGAATTCTGACCCTTATCTGAAGCCTGTGATGAGGTCATTTTATGAGGAGCAACTTATGAGGCTGGAGTGACTCCAATATATTTCCAGAGGAGTTTATATTACATTGGGAGTACATTTGAATAAGTTCAAAATCAGGGTTATATTGGCAGTAAACAATAAGGCAAAGAGAAGGATTTCTCTAAAACTGTACTGTTTTAAATGCCTTCCCAGTTATCCTTTAATGTCATGGTCAGGTAGACAGTGAGCTTGTGGAATAGGCATTTTGTTTTAAGGCTTTAACCCAGGTTACTTAATACACTGAGAACAAAACCTGGAAGCCTTTGAACTTTGTGTTTTATAATCTTCACTCACAACAGCCTCTGTTTAGTGTTTTTCCAGCACTCTCAAAACAGAGGTGGAGTTATTACAAAGTATAATACAAAAGCATTAAAAAGTTGTTAAAAAGAAAGGGCCATCTGATGAATATTTTCTTATAATCCTTCTCTATTATACCTTAAATATAAAGAGAGTTCTTTTTAAAATAACTTTAAATAAACTTTTAATTTTAGAAGTATTTTGGATTTATAAAATAGTTACAAAGAAAATATAGAGACTTCCAGTATACCGTTTCCCTCATTATTAACATCTTATGTTACCATAGTGTACATTTCTACAGTACACAATAAAGTTAACAGAAATGACCAGTTAACTTTGCCCTTTATAGAAAAGTCTTTCATAAAAAATCAGTTGGGGAGAAAAGTAATAATTACTGATTAAAATCAGATTTTTAGATTGCTTACAGATTTTACTTATTCTTTATGACAATATTCATTACCGTGTTTTGTAAATAATTAATTATACTTCCATACTTTCTGTACATAAGAGACTTTCCTGAATTTTTCTAACATGTAAAAAACTTTTTTTCTAGACGTTAAAGAGCTATATAAAATAATGTATTCTGTTTGTTACAGGGTAGAACTGTTACCATTAAGCTAAAGAATGTGAACTTTGAAGTAAAAACTCGTGCCTCTACAGTTTCAGCTGTTGTTTCAACTGCAGAAGAAATATTTGTTATTGCTAAAGAACTGCTAAGAACAGAAATTGATGCGGATTTTCCACATCCTTTGAGATTAAGACTTATGGGTATAACTTTTACTGTTTTTCCTTAAAATCTGCAAGACATTTCCAGAGAGTCAATTTGAGAAATAGTCTCACCTCCATTTTATTTCTTAGACCCATTCAGGGAGTTGTATTTCTTCTACTTTCATTTTTCTTGATACTTAGAACCTGATGCATGTGAAGCCATGATCACTAGTTTAATTCTAGTAAGAATCAGTTAAAGTCATTCTTTTCCTTCAATACTTACTGAAATCCTTGGGGTTAGGTATTTTTCAAAATTTTAAACTTCAAATTTTAGAAAACAAATTCAGTACATGTTGAGTATATTGTGTAATACTCTTTTGGGATCTGAGGCAGCACTTTATGATCAAACATTTTATTATTTCTGTAGCAAAACAAAAAAAATTCACACTGAGTTGTAAAGACTCTAAATAGCTTCACATCAATCTTGTCATCAGTTACCATTTGTTGCTTACAATTTTCAGAGCTTTTAGATTTCAGAATTACAGATAAAGGATTGTGGCAGTATAAAACCACATTTCTAGCCATCATGGGGTAAAAAAGACAAACAAACCATGTTTCCAAAGTGAACAAGTGAGAGAATGTTTAGGGATAAGCACTCCAGATGCCAACTTTACTGCTAAGAATGGAGGCCGTCAGCTGTACTTTCACATATGAAAGATAGCACACATGGAAGTCAGTTTGAATATAGTATATTAGCTAAAAGAGCTAAAGAGTAGATGTTAATAGCAGCTTTATTTATAATTACCAAAACTTGGAAGCAACCAAGATGTCTTCCAATAGTAGGTGAATGGAAATTGTGGTACATCCAGACAACAAAATATTATTCAGCACATAAAAGAAATGATCTATTGGGATAGAGGATGGGGGAGAAGAAAAGAAAGGTAATGAGCTGTCAAATGATGAAAAGACGTGGAGGAAACTTAAATGTATATTTTTAAAGAACCAATGTGAAAAGGCTACAATACTATATGATTCCAATATAGGACATTCTGGATAAAGCAAAATGGTAGAGATCTGAAAAGATCAGTGGTTGGAGGAATAGGCAGAGCACAAAAGATTTCTAGGGCAGAGAAACTATTCTGTATGATGTTATAATGGTGGATACATGTCATTATACCTTTGTTAAAATCCATAGACTGTACAACACCAAGAGTGAACCATGATGTAAACTATGGACTATGAATAATAGTCATGTCAGTGTAGGTTCATTGGTTCTAACAGCTATTCCACTCTGGTGAAGGATGTTGATCATGGAGGAGTTTGTGCATGTGTGGACACAGGGTATATATGAGAACTCTGTACTTTCTACTCAACTAAGTGTCACAATACTGTTACACAAAATGTCTTTATCTTTACAGTTGAGTTGGTTTTGTTGAATTGGAAATGGATTAATTATGGTTGGTTTAATTTAGGGGTGCGGCTCTCTGGTTTTCCCAATGAAGAGGAGAAGAAACACCAGCAAAGGAGCATTATTGGCTTCTTACAGCCTGGAAACCAATCCCTTTCAGCCACCAGTTGTATACTAGAGAAAACTGACAAAGATCAGTTTCTAAAACCTGCACAAACGTCTCATAAGAAGAGTTTCTTTGATAAAAAACGATCTGAAAGGAAAGCGAGCCCCCAAGACACATTTACATGTGAAACCGTAAATAAACAAAGTTTGCAAACATCACAGTCATCCCAAGTTTTAAACAAGAAGATGAGTGAGAATTTAGAAGTGGTGGAGAAATCACATAACTGTCAGACATTTACCTGTCCAGTTTGCTTTAGGGAGCAAGGAAGCATCAGTCTAGAAGCCTTTAATAAACATGTAGATGCATGTCTTGATGGACCTTCCATCAGTGGAAACCCCAAAATGTCCTCATGTTCACATGCTTCCTCTGCAGAAGTGAACGAGAAAGAAAATGTATATGGTTCTGTTTCTCTCTGTGAGAAGGGAGGTTATGAAACCCACCAGAAGAATACAGAGATCACGTCAGTAGATCCTGTAGAGCTGGTAGAGACTACTGGTAAACCATCAAATACAGATGATATAGGGGCTTTAAGTAATAAGCTGAGCGAAGAGGAATGTTCTGGTCCTTCAAGCAAATCATTTAATATGGAACACTGTCCTCAGAATTCTTGTACCGTTTCACTGGAAAATGAAGATGTTGGGTCATTAAGAAGGCAAGAATCCCCCCAACCTAATTTATATGAAGTAATCAGTGACCAAGTTCTAGTTTGTCCTATTTGTAACCTAGAACAAAAGACTTCAGATCTTACCCTATTCAATGTGCATGTAGATGTTTGCTTAAATAAAGGCATTATCCAGGAACTGAGAAAGGATAAGATTAATCCATGTAACCAACCCAAAGAAAGCACCAAAAGTACTGGTGAGTTTATGGTTTTTTTAAAGAGTTTGATTTTCTAGGAATGTTTTATTAAAATTCAGATTGCTATTAAATCTAAAACATATACCTTTAAAGGGATAGTTTGTATATGCTGCCACTTAGGAAAATGTTAGTTACCTTACTATGGGTTAGAATTAGCAGAAGCCATTAGATTTGAAATTTTGGGAAATCTTTGGTTTAGGCTTGACTTAGCACAGACTGAACTCAAAGGTTTAGGGAACTGAGTGATCTAATCCAAAAAAGAAATTCCTTCAGAGAACATTTGCCAAGGCACAGTAGTAAATTAGCTATAATTATATAGCCAGAAAGCCTCTTTAACTTGTTTTTTGGTAGTTCTGACTCTAACCCAACTTCCAAGTTAGCTGCAATACTAATGAAATAAGTAAATTACAAAGAAATTATTTATAAATTCGAAATATGTAGCCCTAAAGAGATTTTTATTATCTTTAATCTGTTAACTTTAACTTTTTAAATCTTTAGAAACTGTTTTTACTATTTCATGTTATTCATTATGCATTATCTTCCCTCTAAAGATAACTTAGGCAAAGTGCAGAAGACTGGGAACAAAGCAAAAAGGTATGGCTAATTTGAGTTTTAATAAAGCTGGCTATGAAACTGTTATATTTTGAGGCCTGATTTTTAGGAAATGTTAAAATGTGCTTTTATAAATCATTAAGTAAAAATTTTAAAATCAATTATTTGCATAAACAATTTTTAAAATCTCTTCGTGCATTTAATTTTGTGCTTTTCTGTTGTTGTTATTATTCTTCTTCGTGCATTTTCATTATGATGTTCTGTTTCATTCCAGGCCAGGATTGATGACAAAGTACTCAGCATCAAAGAAAACAAGACCAAACAATCCAAGACACACTCTTGATGTATTTTTTAAATGAATGTTGAACATTTTATCAATTTTTGATTGAAACTTGTTATTTTATAATAACTGAATGTATTCTTCCCTGTTTCAAGCTTACAGGTTCATCTAGTGAAAGACCAGTACAATAATCCTTTTGTATAAATTTGGGATATATACTAATTTACTTCTGTATACGTCTTTTGATAACAATGAGAATTTCACTTTCAGTTATACTTCAGTTAGATAATTCTGTTAGAGATAATTTTAAAATGAAAAGTTGGGAATGAGATCAGGAAGTGATTTCTTTATTATGTTTTATAGTGAATATAAAAACATACATTTATAAGGGCTTTCATAGGTTCAGATAAAACTATCATAGCATAAGAATTTTTTAGCACTTAGCCACTTTGTTGGCACTGGATGCTCTGCTTGATCTTAGTATCTTCTACAACTTTGAATAATTATATTTTAGGTCCTAGTATCTTCAGATACCTCATGAAAATTCATTACTAATATTTATCATAAGTTCTATGAAGAGTATTAGCTTAGCAGAATTAGCCTGTGTGCTTTTGTTACCTTCAGGAAAATAATATCACAACATTATTTTCTGTGTTAAAAGAACTTTTGTTTAAAATATAATTATTCATTTTATTTTTTTATTTAAAATTTCTTTATCTAATGAATAAGCACTTATTCACTTTAAAAAATATTTAAGATTCAAGGTCATTATTTTCTTATTTAGGACTTTTAGATGGCAATATTTCATTTCTTGTCAGTTGTATTTGTACTTTACACAGATCTTTGAAAAAAAGAACAAATTGTACACTCTATTTTTATCATGATCTTCTAGAGAAGAATGTGCAGTTCAAAAGATTAATGTGTTTTAAAACACCTCATTTAAAAAAAAATAATAAAACACCTCATTTATCTTTAGTTCTATTTCTATCATGTTTTTATTAATATTCATGAAAGAAGACAGCTTAACAATTGTTAGCTTAAGTAGTTGCTCCAAATGCTTTCATGGTATCAAGAGTTTTTATGAAAAACAAAACAAAACAATTATTTAATTGAAACATGAAAATGGGACCCATTGTCTGTTACTGCTTTAAGGAACCGAATCTTTTATTCTCATATTTTTGTTTCTTCTTTTCATATTTTATAGCTTATTACCTAATTGTATAAAGACATAATGTTTTAAGAATAGTGTAAATTAGGATCTCACACAACCTTTCACCGAAATGGTAATTTGACTTTAAATAACTAGCTAGTTTAAAATTAGGCTTAGTGTTTATCAGAATACCAATTTCATGCCTAATATTATTATATGCTATGATAAATATCTCGTTATAGAACTGCGATTCTTGATCATGTGATTTACTTACATTAATTCTCTGAAAATTAAGTTCAATGAAGCACTGATTTAATGTATTGAAAAATAAATAATACCATATTCTTTTCTATTTTGTTTTAGGTTTATTTTTATTGATTTTTCAACATTAGAGTAAATACTAAATTATTTTCATTTAGATTATTCATTTAATGAAATGTTATCATTTAGTAATATTTAATAAAAATTTAAAATGAAAGTTTAAATGTTTAATTTTTTAGCCAATAGAAGTGGTTTCCTTACTTTTCCACTCTTTTCCTGCCTATGTTATTTTCAGTCTTATTTTCTTTGCCCAGAATTTTCTCCACATCCTTTTCTGTTTTATCTAATAATCCAACTTTTGTTTGGGGGACATTAAAAAAACACAGCAAAACCACAAAGATTAAGCACCTATAATCTTACCTATGTAGAGGGTGACAATATAGGGAGCCACTTGGGAGAACACATTTGCAACACATATAATTTACAGAATACTAGTATCCAGAATGTATATAATCCAGAATAGACAAATGATTCCTAAGAATCAGTAAGAAAAAGACAACCAATAGAAATTTGGTCAAAAGTCTTTAAACGGCACTTTCCATAGAAATCCAGATGTCCAAGAAACATGAAAACATCCTCAGTCATTTTAGTAATAGGGGAATGGGGAAAAAAAAACCTCAAAGAGATATTATAACATCTCTCCCAGATAGAATGAAAGGATCTAATGATATTGTTTTGGTGATGATGTGGAGCAATATGAACTCCTTAAAAAAGTTATTTAATTCTTTATATTAATTAATTATTTTATTTTATTTATAATTATTAATTAATTCATTATGGGCTTCCCTGGTGGCTTAGAGGGTAAAGTGTCCACCTGCAATGTGGGAGACCCAGGTTCAATCCCTGTGTCGGGAAGACCCCCTGGAGAAGGGAATGGCAACCCACCCCAGTACTCTTGCTGGAAAATCCCATGGACAGAGGAGCCTGGGAGGCTGCAGTCCATGGGGTCATGAAGAGTCGAACACGACTGAGCAACTTCACATTCACAATTCTTTATATGGCTGTGCCAGGTCTTAGTTGCAGCACTCAGGATCTCAATCTTCGTTGCGGCATGTGGAATCTTTAGCTGCTGCAAGCGGTGTGTAGGATCTAGTTCCCTGACCAGAGAGGGAACCCAGGCTCGCTGTGTTAGGAGCTCGGAGTCTTGGCCACTGGACCACCAGGGAAGTCCCTATGAACTCTTACTTTGAAAACAACCTCTTTGGAAAACAGTCCCTGTAGTAATTCTGAAGATGTGTATACTCGATGTGTAACTGCACTCCTTTATATATGCTGGTTATCTTCCATTTGCCCTCCTGATTTATTCCATGCCCTTCATTCTGTGTTATGTCCAATGAGGCATCGTGGCGGTAAGAAGCCACTGCAGAAGGTTTCAAGGATGAAAGATGAAGTTGGGTGTTCATTCTCTCATGTACTTTTCTGAAGCTGGTTAAGTCTCTTGAACAAAGGTCACAACTTCTTCTTATGTCATTCTCTGCTCGCTCTCTCTCCAGGCTCTGACAATGCTTTCTTTACCCTCAGCCTTTCACCCTACAAGGTGGCAACAGAGTCTTGCCCTTGTTAGCCCTCAGGTGCTGCCCTGTCTTTTGTGCTTAGCACACCTAGCACACCCTACCCAGGTGGCGCTCGTGGTAAGGAACACGCCTGCCAATGCAGAGAAATAAAGAGATGCAGTTGGATCCCTGGGTTGGGAAGACCCCCTGGAGGAGGGCCCGGCAGCCCACTGCAGTACTCTCGCCTGGAGAATCCCATGGACAGAGCAGCCTGGAGGGCTCTAGTCCCTAGGGTCACAAAGAGTCAGAATGACTGAAGCGACTTAGCACAGCACACACAACCAGCCCACACTTTCATAAACGGTCCCTTTCTTAAAACTCATCTCAAAATACAAGGTTTTTTTTTTTTCTGCCAGGACCATAACTGATACAATGTCTTAGGATAACTATTGAACATGTTTTTAGGAAGCATTTGCAAGGTTACATATAGCAGCACAGTAATAACCAAAAAATATGGAAATAAGCCAAATAGTCAACATTGGTAGAAAGACTAAATCCTATCATTGTATTTTCATGTATATTCAAACAGTATAATTCTACACATTAGTGAAAATGAAGGAATAGGTAATCAGAAGGTGGATGAATATCACAAACGTAATGTGGAGCAACAAGCAAATCATAGAAGAATGCCATCGGCAAAATTCCATGCATATAGTTCAAAACAGTATATATCGGTTTAAGAATGTAGTCACATAAATGAAATTATACAGAGAAGTATGTACATTATTGCCCCCAAATAGAATAATGACCTGCTGTGGGGAGAAAAGGGAATGTGACTGAGGAATGCACGTGGAGCTGCCAAAATGCTGTCAGTGTTCTATTGTCTTGGGTGGTGACTCTGTGGATGTTTACTTTTAAAATATCATTTACATTGTACATGTATATTTTATACACTCTTGTTCATGAATGACCTATAATCACAATTTTTAAAAAAATGTCAGAAACTTCTTTCTTTATTGAGGTGATATTTTCCTCCGTCTCTGAGGTATTTGCCTCAATAGAGAAAAACTACATTTCTCTCTGATAGGACTTTGCTGAACACAGCAAGAAAGAGCCATCCCTTGTCGACATTTTCAATTTTTCTCCTAACATTTCCCCAATGCTATAGCTATAGCAGCATTTGGTCTACTCTCCAGTATCAAACTGTCAAAGTTGACCAAGTATTTTATCATCTCCAAACAAGTCACCATCTTTCCATTCTATGATATGTGTCCATATTCCTCAAAGTCCCTCCCTTAAACATGAAGTCAGTTCTGTATATTGGGTTTTATTTCAGCACCCTACTTTTTAGCATCACTTCAGAATTTCATTTCAGCTGTGAGTTACAGAAACCCAATCTGTCTCTTTAAAAAAATCAGTTCTAGTTTTCCCATGAAACATGAATTTCATTGGTTAGCGTTAGCTCAGTGGTTCAAAGATGGGTTCACAGTCTAATTTTCTTGGCCTCACATGACCAGCTTCTTGTTACAAGACGGATGGGCTTTTCCACGTCCAGCCTTACACTTGAGTTCCAGGTAGGAAGACAAGGAAGTGACAGGGATAAAAGGGCCATGAGTCTGTCCCACCTTAAGGAGCTTTCCTGGAAGCCCTACGTAACAATTTCCACTTCCATCTCATTGGCCAAACTGTCAAGTGGCTTCCTCAGATTAAAGGGAACCTGGAAATGTAATTTTTAGCAAGACACATTGCCACGCCCAAACAAAAGCAGGTTCTGTTAGTAAATTGTGTCTCACCTATAAAAAACTATATAAATCATACCATTTAATGGTGAAATTTTAGAAGCACTCCTTAAAAATAACACAAGGGTATCCTCTATTATTTTGCTGGAGTTAATTCAATAAATAAGATGAATTAAAAATCGGAATAAAAACTTTATTGTCAGATGTGTTTTTATTTTTAAAAATCTACACTTAATAAAGGAATTCAAGGTTATGGCTACAAGATCAATGTACAAAATCAGGTGCATTCCTGTACAACAATAATAGAAAATTAGGAAATGTAATAAACATAATCTCTTTCATGATAAAATCTATAAGGGACCTATAGGGTCTGGGGAGGTAGGGAGGTGGTGCCATCTATCAGAATTTGTTGAGTACTTTAGAACTACCAGATATTACTGAAAGACAAACAGTATGTCTGAGTAAATTAGTCAGGAAGAACAGCTATTTTAAAGATAACTATTCTCCCCTAATTCTCTAAGTTGAATAAAACTCAAGACAAAACTGCTCGTGGTTTTTCTCAGAAGTTGTTAAGTAGATCCTAAATTTTATATGGAAGAGCAAAGACCCAAGAATAACAAGGTAGAAGGACAGGCCCTAGTACATATCAACGTTTATTAAAAAGCTGTAGTAATTAATACCAAATACTAATAGCATAGTATTACTACTAATGAATTGGAAAGACTGATGCTGAAGCTGAAGCTCCAATATTTTGGCCAATTGACACGAAGGCCTGACTCAATGGAAATGACCCTGATGGGAAAGATTGAGGGCAGGAGGAGAAGTGGGTGGCAGAGGATGAGATCGTTAGATAGCATCACTGACTCCATGGACATGAGCTTGAGAAAACTCCAGGGGACAGTGAAAGACAGGGAAGCCTGATGTGCTATAGTCCATGGAGTCGCAAAGAGTTGGACACAACTTAGTAACTTAACAACAGCAACAATAGAGTAGTATTGGCATGGATATATACATTTTAGACAACTCGGTACCAAAAGTATCTGCTATTTAATAAATGGTGCCTGAGGCGCTGCTGTCCATGAGGTTGCAAAGAGTCAGACACAACTTAGCGACTGAACAAACAAATTGTGCCTAAACTCTGACTTTCCAACTGGTTTCTCAGCTTTTCCCGCTCTAAACCACTTTGTGCATTTATTGCACATTAGCCACAAATGATGTTTTCATAATGTCACCATTATGTCAGAAACAAAAGATGTCAAAAGCTCTCAACTCTGTCCAGGATCAATGGGAGCTGAGAAGGGTAGGATTTTCAGCATATGATGATTTCTGTGGTGCAAATGGGCTTCCCTAGTGGCTCAGTGGAAAAGAAAACACCTGCAATGCAGGAGACACTGGTTCGATCCCTGGGTCAGGAAGATCCCCCGGGGAGGAGAGCATGGCAACCCACTCCAGTATTCTTGCCTGGAGAATCTCATGGACAGAGGAGCCTGGCAGGCTACAGTCCACAGGTGGCAGAGAGTCGGACACGATTGAAGTGACTAAGCACGCATGCATGCGCAAATACCACGGCAGATTTCAAGCTACTGGCACGATGTCAACCGGCTCACAAAACTCCTAAAAACTTAACAACTGGCTCTTGGTTGCCAGTACAAATGAGCTTCTACAAATCACTGTCTTTGGTGCACACTAAACTCAGGTTTGACTTTCAAGGACACTGAAGTCACACAGCATAGCTTATTGTTCCCTCAATAAACCAAGCTGCTTCTCCCTTCTGGTGTCGTGGTCAGTTGCTCCCTCTGCCCAGAATGCGCTTCCTGAATGCGCCTTTGCCCTCTGCATACACAATAAACATACATGACCATTCATCAAAAGACAATTCGCCCAAGGATCACCATTCAGCCCAGGGACCCCTTTCAGGAAATGGTCCCTGCCCTCTAGGAAAACTGATCAGTCAATCCTTTGTGCCGCTGTTTCTGAAGCGTTCTTTGCTGTGACTTTGCTGTGGTCTCTCTCGACTGGATTGTAGGCTGCTAGAGATGCTCGACTGTCTTTTCCTGATCTCTGAACTCTAAGCACAAAGTCTGGCACTTTGCAGATGTTAACTATTATCTGCTGACCTATAAATGAATAAATAATATTTGTCCAAAGACTGATCTCTGTTACTCTCTTACCATGTTTTCTTTGGAAAGACAGGGTGATGGCTGACTTAAAATGGCTGCACTCAAGCTGGGCCATAGGGATGGGCATTCCAGGAACAGGGAACTCTACTTCTTTCCCTTTATTGGGTAGTGGCTTATTTTAGAGATGATTTATTACTCTGTTCTTTTGAGGTAGCTTGGAAATATTTGGAAAAAGGCTCAAAATATGACCAGTAACCTAGGGTTTTAAAAAATGCTTTTTAAGGAAATATCTCATTGTGAAAAGCATACCTGGTGCTGATTTTTTTCCCCCATTTTGAAAAGCAATTATATGTTAGAGCATCCCTGGTGCTGGTAGGATGTCAGTGAACTTCACAGAGAGGTGGCATTTATACCCCTGGGGCAAAAACTGTTTTTTTGTTGGATTATTAAGGGATAATCACCTTTGCTTTGTCATACACAGTTGAACTACCAGTTGTTCAAGAAAAACTCAAATGATATTATAGGGAGTATTGAAAACATGATCTCATTTATTAAGTAAATCATAATATTGGACTGTTCCCCCTACAAGTGTGAGGTAATTTATTTTCTAAAATTGTTGCTATCTACAGAAGGCTCAGGGAGACAAAAGATAATTCAGAGGCAAATAGTTTTCACCCTTTCCATCTAATCGCAGTCTCTTAAGTTTGTTATTATTTCAAACTCATATATACCTACATACACATATGCATAAATGTACATACACCACATAAATATATGTGTATATACCTACTTTATTTGGGGGGGGGGCTCCAAAAATCACTGCAGATGGTGACTGCAGCCATGAAATTAAAAGGTGCTTACTCCTTGGAAGAAAAGTTATGACCAACCTAGAAAACATATTAAAAAGCAGAGACATTACTTGGCCAACAAAGGTCCGTCTAGTTAAAGCTATGGTTTTCCCAGTAGTCATGTATGGATGTCAGAGTTGAACTATAAAGAAAGGTGAGTGCCAAAGAATTGATGCTTCTGAACTGTGGTGTTGGAGAAGACTCTTGAGAGTCCCTTGGACTGCAGGGAATCCAGTCCATCCTAAAGGAAATCAATCCTGAATATTCATTGGAAGGACTGATGCTGAAGTTGAAACTCCAATACTTTGGCCACCTGATGTGAAGAACTGACTCCTTGGAAAAGACCCTGATGCTGGGAAAGATTGAAGGCAGGAGGAGAAGGGGACAAGATAGGATGAGATGGATAGATGGCATCACCGACTCAATGGACATGAGTTTGAACAAACTTGAAATAGTGAGGGACAGGGAAGACTGGCATACTGTAGTCCATGGGGTTGCAAAGAGTTGGACATAACTGAGCAACTGAACAACAACAACTTTT